GCAGCCACGAAGGCGTTGTACGCCGCGTCGTGCTGCCTCGAAAGCACGCTCGAGCGGACTCCGCCGCCGCGCGGGCGCGCGTGCGTCGCCAGGTTCTTTTGGTGAAAGATGCGCCCGTGCATGGGGCAGCCGACGACGTTGCAGACGGCGCACGGCTGGCCGCAATACTTGCCCTCGCGAGGGATGACGGCCACAAACTCGTGCCACACCTCGCCGCGCGCGTTGGTCGTCGGCGGAAAGACGAGGGAAATGCGCTCCTGCAGCGTCGCCTCGCTGCCGTCGTAAGCCGGGCGCAAGCGCTCGCCGCCGCCGCCGCCGCCGCCGCCGCGCCGCTCGTTCAGCAGCGGCAGCGACGCGGGCCTCCGCCGCGGCGCGCCCCCTCCTCCCTGCCGCTCGCGGCGCGCGGCGCGCCGCCGCTCCCCCTTTCGGTGGCACTCGAGGCAAACCTCCCACTCACACCCGGCGACGGTGCAAGCCCAGTGGCGGTCGAGGATCGACGTCTCGCACACGTCGCACTTTTGGCGAAACCCCTCGGGGATCTGTGCAATCGGCGCGCACAGCCACGCCGCCTCGACCGGTGCGCACGCGACGCAGCTCAGCGCCGCCCCGTCGGGCTGTGAGGGCTGAAGGTGCGACGCGCGCAGCTCCGCCTCCACCATCTCCAGAAACAGCACCGCGAGCTTGCGAAACATATACACGAGCCCCTCGCGCTGCGCCAGCCCGCCGCCGTCGGCCGCGCCGGCCGCCGCCGCCGCCGCGCGATCCCCCGCCACCGACCGACCGCCGCCACCGCCGCGCCCGTTGCCCCCCGCGCGGAGCTGCAGCAGCGGCCACGGCCGCTCTTCCGCGCGGGGCGGGGCGGAGACTGCCCCGCCGGCGCCCGGCGTGTCTGCCGGGGCGGGCGCCGCGGTGGGCGGCGCGAAGCGGCTGGCGAAGCGGCTGGCGAAGCGGCTGGGCGCCTCGGCGCGCAGCGCGGCGACGCGCTGCGGCAGCTCCGATTCGAGGCATAGCTCCTACCAGCCGGTGGAGGCGCGAGTGAGAAGGGGCACACACCTCTCTCGCGCGCGCGCGCTCGCGCTCTCCTCCACAAAGGCGACAAAGTGCTCCGAAGCGGGCCACCACGGGTGGCGCTGCTCCGAGTCCGCCTTGGTCTCGTCGGGCGCCGCCACCGCATACTCCCACTCCCCCTCCTCTCGCTCCGCCGACAGGATCCGCTCCGCGGGCACCCGACGCTCAAAGTCGCCGTCCTCGTACCGGACGTCTGCCGTGCCGTCGCCGTGCACCGCCTGCAGCGCGCCGCGGTACCACTCGCGCCCGTCGCGGTAGCGCGCGAGGACGGAGTCGTCGACCACGAGCGCCGTCCGCGAGCGCCACCGCCGCGTGACGAGCAGCAGCCACCGGCGGCGCGGGTCCCTGGCCGCCGCAGCGCGCCGCAGCTCCTTCTCGCGTAGCGCGTCAAACAGCGTCTCGAACGAGAGCGTCGAGAGCTGCTCGGCGGCGATGGCGAGGGGCTGGCGCACGAGGCGGTCGTAGGTGCGGTGGAGCGCGACCGGAAAGTACGTCTCCCACTTGGAGATCATCTTCTTGTCGGGCGGCCGGAAGTGGTTGAAGAGGTGCAGGCAGTGGTTCGAGTCGAGCCCGCCCGGGCGCGAGACGTTGAGGTCCGAGTACTGCCGCGCCATGAGCAGCACGAGGCCGGCGGCGTGCGCGCGCTCGGAGGCGGCGTGCAGCGCGCCGCCCCACTCGCCCTCCGTCCCCTGCAGGTTGCCGAGGAACTTGACGTTGCGCGCCGGGTTCTGGCTCAGGTTCAGCCGCCGCACGAGAAGCACCTGTCCGCACATGAAGGAGAGCCGCATGCCGCGGTAGTAGATGAAGCGGCCGTCCTCGCCGGTGAAGTTGCGCGACTCGCCGTTGCGCGGCGTCATCTTGGGCTTCTCGGCGGGCGCGGTGGCGCCGACGCCGGGCGCGCCCTCCGACGGCCTTCCCAGCTTCGGCCTCGCCTCCGCGCCTGCTGCGGCCGCCGGAGCCTCTGCCGGCGGTGCGGGCGTATAGCCGAGAAGCTTGACGAGGGCGGCCGAGTGCGAGCGAGAAGCGGCCGTCTTCACCTGCGGCGCGAGGCTCGCGGCGTCAGGGGGCGTGGCCCCCTCGAGCCGGGGCGGGGCGGGCCGGCTCTCTCACCGGCTGCCCACCGCGCGGCTGCGAGTGCGTGAGCAGGTTCTTGAGGTGAAAGACTGCGCCGCGCCGGTCGCAGCCCTCAACCTCGCACCGCGCGCAGCCCTCGCCCGCGTAGCGGTCGCCCGGCGGCGGGATCACCGCGGTGAACTCGCGCCGCTGCACGCCCGACACGTCCGTGAACGGCGGCCACTGCCGGTCAAGCTTGGCCTGCAGCTGCGCTAGCCGCTCCTCGTTGCTCCTGCCGCCGCCGCCCCGCTGCCGCGCGCCCGGCGCGCCTCCTCCCGCCTGCCGTTGCGCCGCCGCCACGTCCGCCGGCGGCGGCGGCGCCTGCTGCTGCATGGCGAGCGCGATGGCCGCGGCCGCCGCGCCGCCGCCCGAGCCCCGCGCCGCCGCGGGCAGCGCCTCCACCTCCATCGGAGCGGCAAGCTCAGCCGGCTGCTCGGCGCCGGCCGGCTCCCACGCGTCGGCCGCGAGGGGCGCGCCGCCGGGCTGCGTGAAGGCGGGCGAGCCGCTGCGGAGGTGCGGGCTGTACTCGTACCGGTAGAAGAAGGCGTCCTCCGCCTGCCGGAGGGGAGCGACAGCGGTGAGGGACCGTCCCACGCATCCGGCGGCAGCGCAGGCAGCCGCAGCCTCGTCGGCCAGCGCGGCATAGTTTGGCGCATCCGACGCGCAGAGGATGCGCGCCGGCCCGGCGATGGTGCTGCTGCAGACCTCGTCGAGCTTGCCCGTGGCGAGGTACACCTCCTTGCCCTCGTCGTCGCACCTGGGGGCGCGACGCCGGCGTGAGTGGAGGAGCGCAGCGCCCGCAGCGGCGCGGGCGGCGGCGTGGCTGTGGACCAGGCGGCTGCTCTCACCTCGGGCGGCGGTGCGTCGTGGAGGGCGCGAGGTCGGAGCGGCGGTAGAACCAGCGGACGGCCAGCCAGTACTGCACCTTGTTGTTGCCGCCGATGCGCGGTCGTATCTCCTCAATCCGCGCCAGCCACGGAGGCGCCTTTGGGAACGGCCGCAGGAAGACGCCCTCAAAGACGGAGTATTGGCGGCCGCCGACCTGCAGCACAGCGGCGATCCAGGCGCCTGAGGCTGGCGCGCCAGCGGAAACGCGCGCGCGGCAGCGATGGGAGAGCCAGAGTCCTCGCTCAGCGCAGCGTCTGCGCGACCACCGGCTGTCGCGTGCATGCGTGGAGTGTGCTGGCTGGAAGCGTGAGTATGTGTGTGTCTCGTGTGTGTCAGCGGCGGTCACCTCCACTGTCTGGGACATAGCGACTGCCTCTGATCAGCACAAGCCACACAGCCCCAGGCGTGATCAGCCCGGTCCCTAGCGTGATCAGCAGGCTGGGTTGTGTGGGTGTGAAGAGCGCCGTGCGTATGAGCTTGAGGGTTTGCTGTACCCAGCGCTGGCTTCTGACTGTCATTGCTGTCTCTCCCTTCTCGACTGTCTGTGCTTGCTTGTGCGTCTTGCTTGGGTCCGGGGTTGTGTTTTTGAGTGAAGAGCGCCGGACGTATTTTTTTCTCAATAACAACGCTGCGATGAGTCCCCCGGCGACGACTGGCGTGCAGTGTTGTGTTCACTAGCTCCGAGTAGATAGAGGAGAGGGGGCGTCCTGCAGTTAAGGAAAAACCGGTACGCGGGGCCAACCCTCGGACGGAGACCTGTGTTTACTTGATGGCCCTTTCCCTGCGAGACCCTGACGCTGCTGCTCTAGCTATCAGACATGCACTGCTGACTGCTGCCACAATGTGCGACCTGTGCTGGCCCACTTGGCGGCCTTCCCGGTCAGTGGTGAGGCGCAGTTCAGAGCTGTCGATGGCGCGATGCCGCATTGGTGACACGAGACCACCAAGTTTGCCGGTCCAAGAGAGAGGCACCGGCGCTGTCCTGAGAAGGTGCATGGTCCCTCTTGACTGCCCATGCGCGCGAGGCTGTGTAGGCATAGCCTCGAGAGTGCCAGCAGCCCATCCGAGGTGACGCGCATTGCGCCAGAAGCGTGCACGCAGCTGGATGGAAGGACACCTTCCTACTGGCCGTACGATCAGGTCGTCACTGAATGCTTAATACTAAGGCCGCGAGCTATGCAGGTGATCAATTGTGCATCATGGCACGGTCAGCTGCGCCGACAGGCTGTCGCAAGGCGTGATAGCATGGCCGCAAGTACGCCGAATTCCCATGAAAACAAGTAAAAAATCGCGAAAAAAGAAAAAAACTCCAAAAAATCGGCGCCTGCGGCGGGCCATGGGACCCCATCTCCCCCCCGCATGGACTCTGGGCCCCCCGCGCCGGCCCAGAGCCTTCGCGACGGGCAGGCCCGATACGGCCGCGCTGGCCGGGGCGGCCGCTCGAGCCTCGACCGGCGGCCGCGGTCGTTCCGGCGTCGGCGTCGGCGTCGGCGTCGGCGTCGCGAGCGAACTGGCTCGCATTCGACGAGCGACCCTCTTCACAGAACCCGGACTGCCACCTTAATAAACAGCAAGAACAACCCCCCGGGCCGAAATCGCAGTTGTAGTTAGGTTTTCTTCAAGTCTCGTTTCGCGAGGCGGAGAACTCCTCCCTGCCTTCGGGCCCCTCCTCGCCTTCGGGCACCACGCACTCTCACACGCCAATACACGCGCGGCCGGCGCCCCTCATGCCCCTCTCCACGCACACCGCGTGAAAACTGCGCGTACGTCCCCGCGCGCACGCAAACACACGAGCAGCGCTCAAAAGCCTGTGTCATGTGCGTCTGCCCTGTGCTGGCACCCCATGGCCGCGCCAGCCGCCCGCACCAGCCACGCGCCTCTCGCACCATCAGAGCTAGCCGCACGACCACTCACGCCGCGACGCGCGCGCCGCAGTGAACCCCACTGACAGTCCACGCCCTTTGCCAGGCGCCTGCACACTGTTTCAGGCACCATGCTCTACCAGAGCGCGCCGCGCCCGGCAGGACGCAGCTCCAGCGCGCGAGGCGCGCGCGGCGGCACGCCGCGCGCGGCGGCCGCCGCGCACGCGCCCCGCCATCCGACCAGAGCTGCACAGCCTGCCAGCATGCTGTGCAGCAGACCTGCTGGACACTCAACACACACGCACGCTCACGCCGCCCGCCCACTGCGCGGCTGACTGCACCCCGCGACAGCTCCGTTCCCACAGGCGAGGCGCGCTGGCTCGCCGCGCGCGCTCCCGGGCGGCTCGGCCAAGATTGCTTCACCTCCCCATGCCTGTGGCTGTGCAGAGTGCTCCCACTCCAAGACATTCTACGTCGAGGTCTGCGCCGTCCCCGGCGCGAGCAAGCAGGAGCATCTCCCCTTCCCCTTCAACCCACCTGGGGTACTCACAAACAGCCTAACCCCTCCCCTACCAACATAGTACCGAACCCTTGCCTCACCTCTCACCCCTCACTTCTCACCTCACCCCTCACCGCCTCTTCCCCTCCCCCCTCCCCCCCTCACCCCCTCCCTCTACCCCCTCACCCCTCACCCCTCACCCCTCACCCCTCACCCCTCACCCCCCTCCCCTCACCCCTCACCCCTCACCCCTCACCCCTCACCCCCCACCCCCCACCCCTCACCTCTCACCCCCCAGTCACGGGAGAACAGCGCAAAGAGATGCTGGGAAGAGTCCTCTCCCTGATGTTGCGAGGCAGACGCGTGGGGCTGGTGTGCGCATGCGCCCCCTTAGCATGCCACGGGGACGTTATCGCTGCCAGACTAGTGCGCATGTACTGCGGCATCGCTAGCCCGTAGAAATTGTTAACAAAAAACACTCCTAAAACTCAAACGAAAGATGGCGTAGTGTGTGTAGCACCGCTGCCAATGTTGCCGGGGCGCCACACTGACAGCGAGAAGGAACTCACCAGTCCGATAAGGATCAACTGGAAAGCTGAACCCTGGGCCTAGACAGAACGGGCGTGGCAGGCTCCAGGGGAGACCACGCTCTACCCGGGGCGCTAAGGAGGGAAATCGAAGCTGTTGGGCGTCCAGCGAGAAAAACTCGCGAGGACACACCGACAATCCCCCCTCCCCGAAGACCAAACCTAGGCACGTAGAGCACGGGTCATCTCGGAGAGAGAAAGGGGGGGGAAGAGGGGGGGGATAAGGGAGCCAGATACGCGGGAGTACCCTGGGAGTGAGAGCTCTCATTCATGGTCGCGAGACCAGGGGAAGCCATAACGGAGAACGGGCACACCAAGGCACTAACTTCATCACTCATTCGCCCCGCATTAGGTAGCGACCCCAGGTTCAGAGCTAGGCTGCCCGACAGGGCAGGGAACCCCCAGCGCGCAGGCGGGGCCCACGGTAGCCTCGTGCAGTACGCGATACCGAGAGCTGGGGGAGAGGCGCGCCACGCCAAGGGGGAGAGAATGGAGGGGGGAGAATATGCGTGCTCGTTTTTCTTCGAAAGCAATTTTTTTTTTCGAAATCGCAGTTGTGCTGTGGTGTCGCTGCGCCGACTCGGAGTAAAAAACTTTTGAGGAGAGAGGAGAGAGAGAGAGAGAGAGAGAGAGAGAGAGAGAGAGAGAGAGAGAGAGAGAGAGAGAGAGAGAGAGAGAGAGAGAGAGAGAGAGAGAGAGAGAGAGAGAGACAGAGGGAGAGGGAGAGAGGGAGAGAGAGTCAAAACTGATAGTTTGCCTTCAGAACCCGCCGCGATCCAGGGCGCGGGCGTGGTGCTCGACGTGCTCGGCGGTGCGTGTGGTGTTCGAGGCTGACCTGTAGCCTGTACGTCGGGCAAAACTTCTCACTGCCCCGGCGCCCACGCCTCGATCTTCTTGGGAGGCAGCTGGTTCGACAGGTCTTCTCCGTGGCCAAGGCAGCCGCCCTCGCCCAGCCCCCAAGCATAAACAGCATCGTCGGCAGTGACAGCGAGGCTGTGGTTATCTCCAGCTGCCACAGCGACGACGCGCTGCCCAGCGAAGCCCTCGACCTTCTTGGGCAGCAGCTGGTTCTGATAGTCACCGTGGCCCAACTTGCCAAAGGCTCCATCGCCCCAGCTCCAGACGGAGCCGTCAGCGGTGATGGCGAGGCTGTGCAAATCTCCCGCCGACACGGTGACAGCGCGCCGCCCTGCAAAGGCCTCGACCTTCTTCGGCAGCAGCTGGCGCTGCTGGTCGCCGTGGCCCAAGCTGCCAGAGTCTCCAACGCCCCAGCTCCAGACGGCGCCATCGGCGGTGAGGGCGAGGCTGTGGTACCCTCCAGCCGACACGGCGACGACGCGCCGCCCAGCGAAGGCCTCGACCTTCTTGGGCAGCAGCTGGTCCTGCTCGTCGCCGTGGCCCAGCTTGCCTAAGCCTCCACCGCCCCAGCTCCAGACGGCGCCATCGGCGGTGATGGCGAGGTTGTGGAAGCCTCCAGCCGACACAGCGACGACGCGCTGCCCAGTGAAGGCCTCGACCTTCCTTGGCAGCAGCTGGTCCTGCCAGTCGCCGTGGCCAAGCGTGCCAAAACCTCCACCGCCCCAGCTCCAGACGGCGCCATCGGCGGTGATGGCGATGCTGTGCCATCCTCCCGCCGAAACAGCGATGACGCGCCGCCCAGCAAAGGCCTCGACCTTCTTGGGCTGCCACTGAGCCTGCTGGTCGCCGTGGCCCAAGCGGCCAACGTAGCCCTCACCCCAGCTCCAGACAGCGCCGTCGGCGGTGAGGGCGAGGCTGTGGATGGCTCCAGCCGACACGCTCACGGCGCGCTCATCACCCAACGTCGACGGGAGGCGGGTCGGTGTGTTGAGCCGCGTCACGCCCTCGCCGTGGCCGAGAAGGCCTGGAGATTCCTCGTCGTCGTCCTCCTCCTCCTCCTCGCCCTCCGGTGCCGCTGAACCGCACGACGAGAGCCGCCCCTCGCCGTCGATGAAGACGCTGTGCCGTTCGCCTGCCGCCGCCCTCGCCGGCGGGTTGGACTCGTGCAGCAACGCAGCGAAGCACAGCCACCGCACGGCGCAGTTCTCATCCTCTGGCTTCGCCGGCAGCTCGAAGCCGCGCTCTTGCGCCCACAAGCGGATGGCCTCCTCCGCGAGCGGGGCGTGAAAGAGAAGCGAGACGGCCGCGGCGCGAGCGATGTCGATGGGGCTGTCGAAGCGGGAGAGGACGCGCTCGAGGAGCTCCCTGGGGAGGTCGAGGAGGCGGGTGGGTGGCGGCGTGCCTGGCGAGGGAGCGGCGGCGGAGGCGGCGGAGGCGAGGCGGCGCGAGCGGCGGCGCGGCGGGGTGGACATCGCGAAAAAACAAAACACGCCCGGGCCGCTCGACACAGGTGCGAACTGGCGCGTGCTATTCTTAAAATACAAGCCTCTCTCACAGCACACTGGCACGACGAGGGCGCGGACTGGCGCGGACTGGCACACACACCGGCTCACCACCGGAGCCGCCTAAGCCACTCCGTTAAGAACGGCAATGCACTTAGCTCCGTGCACAATGCCGCTCTCCCCACACGCTAGCTCGTTCACCGTCTGCCACGCCACAGCGGTGTGGAGGACGACCGACAAACGCTGCATTTGCAGGCCGTGCCAATTCTTGGTTGTCCATGTGACCTCGTCCAGGTGCTGAGCATGCGAAGAGTTTGTTGCTCAGCTGGTTCGCCGCCTCCCTCTGGGTGCTGCGAACCTCCTTTCCAAAGCCTCCGAAGGTCTCGAAGTCGAACAAGCGCAGATCGCAATTCTGCTCCCGCGCAAAGCGGTAATCGCCATCCAGCTCCTTGAGCTTTCCCTTGGGGGCATCCGCATCCTCCCCCTCCCCTACCTCCTCCACCTCCGCCTCCTCCTCCTCGTCCTCCTCTTTGGCGCACGTGTAGCCGACGGCCTTAGCAATCGCCTTGGACCCGTCCGAACTGCGCACGCGGATGTTCTTCTTAATGAGCAGCTTGTCATCCACGGCCTTCTGCAGCCAAGGCTCCATCGCGGAGGTCGGCTCGGGCGCCGCCGCAGCCGTTTCATCTCGCCAACCAGCTCTAACCTGGGGTGCGCTGCACTAACCCGGCCCTAACCCACCCCTAACCCGGCGCAAACCCATGCTGACGTATGCCCCCCACCTGCGCGGGTTAGCGCTGGGTTAGTGCCGGGTTATGGTAACCCATTCTGACCCGAGCTGACCCGTGCCGGGTTAGTGAGCACTAGCCCGCGCTAACCCACGCTTACCGATAGACTCACTAGTGAGCTCATACATTGTACGCATATGCTGGACAGACGCGCGTCCACTGTGGGTTTCCCCCCTGGGGGATAGGGGATCCCCTACCCCTCAGTGGGGGCGAACCCTGGGGAGACTGCAACTCCCATGCGTGACACGCACCCGTACCCCCCCCTCAGCGGCCGGCTCGGACCAACGCGTGGGAGCGGCCAGCGATGGAGCTTGCGAAGCGGCGGCGGAGGGAGGCGCGGCGGAGAACGGCTCGGTGGAGCGGAGACGGCGCGGCGAGGGGCGGCGGAAGCGGCAGCAGATGTGGGCTCGCTGCAGGAGGCACCTCCTACCGCCGCAGCGTCTCCGCGGCGGAATCACCTGGCGGCCGCTCTGCCGGGGAAAGAGGTGGAGGCACCGAGGAGGGAAGCGGAGGCCGCATTTGCACTCTCTCGCGGCGGCGGTGGCGGAGGCGTCGTGGATGGAGTCGTGCCGGTGGATGGGTCGGAGAGGGCGCGACGGGGGGCTGGGAGGACGAGGATGACGATGCGTATGACCCGGACTACTAGTGTATGCGACCTAGGATGCGACTGCACTTCACTTGCGTTTCGATATCCGGACGGCCTCCCACCAACTTAATCCTAAGATCCCCCGTTTCAACCAATTCACAGTCTTGTTATTGAGAAGAAACTACGTCCTATGGCCACGCCTTCGACCCCGCCACCTGCGGGCTGGCGTCGGGCGAGTGATGTGTCTCGCCGGGGTCCGCGGCGCGCAGCCCCTGGCCAGTGCCGTCGGCGCCAGTGCGGCAGTGGCCGAGCGCGTGCCAGTCGCAGGCCCTCCCTCACCCTTGGTCTCTCTCCGCCGGTCTGTTCGATTATCGACACGGCAACACAGGCCCCTTGGTTTCTGTCCCTGCCATCGCGCATTGCCCCGTTGAATATCTTTTTTTGCAGAGGCAATCGTGGCCGCCAAAATTCTTTTTTGCCCTTGATTGAAAGTGCCCATGATTTCCCTCTTGCACGCCGTCATGCTCGTCGCGGCGCCCTCGATCGCCGCCGCTCGCCCACCTACCTGCCGCGGGGACCCGTTCATCAACACGCGCAACCGCACCGACGTCGTCATTGAGCTCTTCATCGGGTCTGGAGCTCTTCACCCGACGCTCGCCCTCACGACGCCTGCCTCGCGCAAACCCAACAAGACCGACAAGCCGTCCGCGGACCCGGAGCTCTCCAACGACCTGCCCTCCCCCTTTTGTCCCTTCATGCGCGAGCCCTCGTCCGCGCCTGACCGCGCCCAGCAGCTGTTGTGGGCCGTCCTCCTGCTGCTCGGAGCATGCGGCGTGCGGCTGTGCGGGTGGCGGCCGCCGCGCTTCGGTGCGGCCTCGGGGCGGAGGAGCAAAGGGCGCCTCGTGCGGTGCCGGACGGGGTTGTGCCGCGGCGCGTGGCTTCTCGTCGCGCTGCTCCCGCTCGCATGTGCAGTGTCGCCGTCGCCGCCGTCGCCGCCACCGCCCGGCAGTACCTGCGAGACTGCCATACCCTTCGGTGGGGCGGGTGAAGCCTCCTTCGAAGTCTACATTGCCTCAACCGACGCTGGCCCGGGTCCAAGCGGCGGATATAACTTAACGCAGTGCCAAGGCACGCAATTCAACCTAGACGCGACCGACAGAGTTTTCTGGCTGCGCCTCACCGACGTGCGCACGTTTCCCCTCGATCTGCATACCTGCGCGGCCAACACAGCCTGGGGCACCGACCTGTCCATCTTCACGGGAAGCTGCGACACGCTCACGCAGGTGGCATGCAACGGCAACGGGGAGGGTCTGAGCGGATGCTACGAAGACTACTCTCGCATCACAGGACTGCAGCTCACCGAAGGCGAGCAGTATTGGGTGGTAGTTGGGCCCGGCCATCTTGATGACTCCGGCTACATTCGGCTTGCGGCTGAATATCAGATCCCATCACCGCCGCCACCGCCATCGCGACCGTCCCCCCCGTCTGCTCCCCCACGACCGCCGGCCGTCCCCGGCTTTGATTTCGCCGCGGCGAGCGAGGACGATCTCCGCTCCCTGATTGTTGGGGCTGCTGCCGACGTCTCAATCTACCTGCCGCCCAGTGTGGACTTCAAACTGAAATACCCGATCGAGTGCACCTCCAACATCAAGGTGACCATCGCCACCAGCGGCGAGGGCGCGACGCTCGACGGCCAGGGAGAAACCTGGCTCTTTGGACTCTGGGGCGGCTGCAGCCTCACCCTGCGGGGGCTGACGCTCGTCAACGGGATTGCGGCCTACGGTGGCGTTGTGTATGCGTACGGCGCAGGCGACGTCGAGATCATCGAGTCGGTCGTGAGGGACTGCTCTGCTGGCGAGGTGCGCCGCGTAGAGCTAGCCGCCGGCCCTGCAGCGCCGCACGGCAGCGGGGCGAGAGGTAGAGAGGGCCACGGCTGCCTCACCCCGCTCTCTCCTCGCAACCGCAGTCCGGCGGCGTCGTCTTCGCGTATGACAGCGGTGCGGTCTCGATAACCAGATCGAATGTGGAGGGGTGCTCGGCTGGCTTGGTGCGCCGCGTAGAGCTAGCCGCACCCCTCCAGCGCCGCACGGCAGCGGGGCGAGTGATAGAGAGGGACACGGCTGCCTCACCCCGCTCTCTCCTCGCAACCGCAGGACGGCGGCGTCGTCAGGGCGTATGACAGCGGTGCGGTCTCGATAATCGGCTCGACCGTGTCGGGCTGCTCTGCTCGAGTGCGCCGCGTAGAGCTAGCCGCCTCCATCAGCGCCGTACGGCAGCGTGAGATGGAGAGGGCCACGTCTGCCTCACCCCGTTCTCTCCTCGCAACCGCAGTGGGGCGGCGTCGTCTACGCGAGGCGCAGCGGCGCGGTCTCGATAACCGACTCAGACGTGACGGGCTGCTCTGCTGATGTGCGCCGCGTAGAGCTAGCCGCCTCCAGGGCGTCACACGGCAGTGGGACGAGAGATGCGGGACACGGCAGTCTCACCCCGCTCTCTCCTCGCAACCGCAGAAGGGCGGCGTGGTCTGCGTGGTTGTGAGCGGTGTGGCCTCGATAATCAACTCGACCGTGACGCGCAGCACGGCTCGGGTGCGCGGTGTAGAGACTATCCGCCCGTCATGCAACGCCACACGGCGGGGCGAGAGATGGATACGGCCACGGTTGCCCTTCGCAACCGCAGGAGGGCGCCGTCGTCTTCGCGTGGTCAAGCGATGCGGTCTCGATAATCGGCTCGACCGTAACGAGCTGCTCGGCTGGCGAGGTGCGCCACATAGAGCTAGCCGCCTCCCTGCAGCGCCGCACGGCAGCGGTGCGATAGATGGAGAGGGACACGGCTGCCTCACCCCGCTATCTCCTCGCAACCGCAGTCCGGCGGCGTCGTCTACGCGAGGTACAGCGGTGCGGTCTCGATAACCAGCTCGGCCGTGACGGGCTGCTCGGCTGGCAAGGTGCGCCGCGTAGAGCTAGCCGCCTCCCAGGCGTCGCACGGCAGCGGGGTGTGAGATGGAGAGGGCCACGGCAGTCTCACCCCGCTTTCTCCTCGCAACCGCAGGACGGCGGTGTAGTCTACACGGATGAGAGAGGTGCGGTCTCGATAATCGGCTCGACCGTAACGAGCTGCTTGGCTGACGATGTGCGCCGCGTAGAGCTAGCCGCCTCCCTGCAGCGCCGCACAGCATCGGGGCGAGAAATAGAGGGCCCGTCTGCCTCACCCCGCTCTCTCCTCGCAACCGCAGGACGGCGGCGTCATCTACGCGAGGAAAAGCGGCGCGGTCTCGCTAATGAATACGTCCGTGACGGGCTGTTCTGCTGATGTGCGCCGCGTAGAGCTGACAGCCCGCCCTGCAGCACAGCACGGCAGCGGGCGAGAGATGGAGAGGGCACGTCTACCTCATATCCTAATCCGAAGGTGACGGATTGCTCGGCTGTCTTTGTGCGCCGCGTAGAGCTAGTCGCAGCGGAGAGAGAGAGGACCACGGCTGCCTCACCCCGCTCTCTCCTCGCAACCGCAGCACGGGGGCGTCGTCTACGCGGATCGCAGTGTGGTCTCGCTCATCGACACGACCGTGACGGGCTGCTTGGCTGGCCGGGTGCGCCGCGCAGAGCTAGCAGCCCGCCCTGCAGCGCCGCACGGCATCGGGGCGAGAAATAGAGGGCCCGTCTGCCTCACCCCGCTCTCTCCTCGCAACCGCAGTCCGGCGGCGTCGTCAGGGCGTGGAACAGCGGTGCGGTCTCGATAACCAGATCGAACGTGATTGGCTGCTCGGCTGAAAGGGTGCGCCGCATAGAGCTAGCCACCTCCAGTAGCGCCATACGGCAGCGGGGCGTGAGATGGACCACGGCAGTCTCACCCCGCTTTCTTCTCGCAACCGCAGTGGGGCGGCGCTGTGAACGCGAAAGGCGCAGGCGACGTCGAGATCATCGACTCGACGGTCAGAGACTGCTCTGCTTCTTATGTGCGCTAGAGCTAGCCGCCCTGCAGTGCCGGACAGCAGCAGGGCGAGAGATGGGGAGGGCACGCCTACCTAATATCCCGCTCTCCCTCCTCGCAACCGCAGTACGGCGGCGTCGTCCACGCGTCTGACAGCAGTGCGGTCTCGATAATCGGCTCGACCGTGACTGGCTGCTGGGCTGGCGAGGTGCGCCTCGCAGCCACGGGGCGAGAGATAGAGAGGGACACGGCTGGCCTCATCCCACTCTCTCCTCGCAACCGCAGTACGGCGGCGTCGTCTACGCGGTGAACAGCGGTGCGGTCTCGATAATCGACTCGACCCTGAGGAACTGCTCTGCCACTGTGCGCCGCTTAGAGCTAGCCGCCGCCCTGCAGCCTGCACCACATAGCAGCGGGGCGAGCGATGGAGAGGGCCACGGCTGCCTCACCCCGCTCTCTCCTCGCAACCGCAGTATGGCGGCGTCGTCAACGCGCTTGAGAGCGGTGCGGTCTCGATAACCAGCTCGAAGGCGACGGGCTGCTCGGCTTACTTTGTGCGCCGCGTAGAGCTAGCCACTTCCTTGCAGCTCCACACCGCCCATGAAGAGGTGAGTAGGCTCAAGACAAGGCAAGGAGAGTCACCGCCCGCCTCGCCGCGCCTCCCCTCGTGCTTGCAGCCCCTCCACAAGGCCTGTCGCGCCTCCTTGGCAGGACGGCGGAGCGACATACACGTGGGGCACCGACCTCAACGTGACCGACTCCACCATCTCCGATTGCAATGCCAGGCGAGGCGGAGCAGTGTACGTTGCGTCGGGCTCAGCCAGCCTGGCCCGCTCAACCATCTCCAACTGCATCGCCACAGAGTCTGGCGGCGGCCTTTACTCGGCGGGTGGGCGCACCTCCCTGAGCGACGGCACCCTCATCAGCGGCTGCTCTGCTGAGGGTCAGGGGAATTCCGTCTTCCTACTCGCTGGCGAGGTCTCCTACACCCTCCCCGCCCCGGCCGGCCGCTGGCTGCCAAACGCGCGCTGCGAGGTGTACCGGGAGGCGTGCTCTTACGGCAACGACGTCAACGGCAAACCTACACCGAAGCAAACGGCTTGCCTCGAGCACCGCGATCATTGCGCGCTCACCCTCGACGTCAAAAGCGAGTGGCACTGCCAGGACACGACCTTTGTGCAGCCGTGCAACTGGAACAACGAGACCGGCGGCGATCCCTCCCTCCTCGGCAAGAGCCTCTACCAGCTGCCGCTTCTCCCCGTCGAGCAGGACTTCCCCTTCGCCTGCGCCGCCGGCCTCCTCGGCTCGGCCGACCCCGAGGACCAGTCGAGCAGCAGCTGCGCCGGCCCCTGCCCCGCTGGCTCCCAGTGCCCCACAGAGGCGACCTATGAGCCGCTGCCCTGCGTTGCTGGCCGCTATTGCCCGAGAGGGACCGCGGAAGTCCCCCTTGCTTGCTCCGCCGGGTCGTACTCGAACGCCACAAACCTCACCGCCGCGAGCGAGTGCACCGACGCCGCTCCGGGCCACTTCGCCGCCGCCGGCTCCACCGAGCAGTCGGTGTGCGCCAAGGGGTCGTACACGGACGCGTACGGGCAGGGCGAGTGCACGCCCTGCGCCGGCGGCACGTACCAGAATGAGACCGGCAAGACGGAGTGCAAGGCGTGTTTGCCGGGTCACTACTGCGCCGTTGGCGCGGCGGCGGCGCTTCCTTGCGTTTCCGGCACTTACGCGAACGCGACCGACCTCGCCGACGCGGGCGAGTGCACGGCCTGCCCCGCCGGCAGCGCCTGCTCCACGGGCAGCATCGAGCCGACGCCGTGCTCGCCTGGCACTTTTGCCGAAAACAAGGGGCAGGCCAAGTGCGAGCCTTGCCCTCCCGGCACCTCGTCGAAGGCAGGCAGCTTCGCGTGCGACGAGTGCGAGGCTGGCAATTACGCCGCCAACGCCGGCCAGGGCCTTTGCGTCCCGTGCCCTCACCCCCTCAGCTCGGCCGACGGCAGCAGCACCTGCTCGTTTTGCATGGGCGGCTACTACCTGCCGACCTTGACTGCCGACCCGGACGACATCTTCAAATCCCCGACCAAGTACTGCAAGCCTTGCCCGACGCACGCTGTCTGCTCAGACAATACCACCCTCGAGACCCTCGGCGTCAAGCGCGGCTTTTGGCGCGCCAGCCCCTCCAGCGCCGTGATGACAGAGTGCCGTCTCTTTGGCGGCGATGGCAAGGCCGGCAAGACGCGATGCGCCGGCAGCGAGCCGGTGGCGAGAGAGGCCTCTCGCCGCCGGAGGATGGTGGAGGCGGGCTCAAAGTACTGCGCCCCTGGCTTCGCCGGCCCCGAGTGCCAGCTCTGCGTCGCGGATAATCACTACCTTGCCGACGGCGACGCGTGCGTGGAGTGCGCTCCGCGCGGCGCGGCGGCTGGCCGCATCGTCGGCCTCATCCTCGGCCTCTGCGTCGCGTGCGGCCTCGCGGCGTATTGCTACAGCATGACAGAGTGGCGGGAGAAGCGCTGCATCGGCCGTCTGCTTCGCCTCGCGGACCGTGCCGTCTACTGGTACATCGCGATCGGCCTCACGGCCAAGTTCAAGATCCTGTTTGGCTTCTACCAGATTGTCACCGTCTTGTCCACCACCTACTCCACGCGTCTGCCTCCAGAGTACACGGGCTGGACCGACGCAGTGGCCGACGCCGTCTCCATCGACTGGTCGGGCCTTTACTTGCCACAGCAGTGCCTCGGCTACGGTTTGCGGCTGCTCGGCATCGCCCTCTCGCCCATCGCCCTCATAGCGCTGCTAATGATCGCTGGAGTAAGCCTGCGGCTCCACGGCTGGCGCGCCGCCCCGGCGCCGCACGCGAGGCCGTGGTACGCACTGGCCGGCCTCCTCGACCTCACGCCGGCCGGCCTCGTGCTCGTCTTCTGCTTTGTGCCCTCCATCAGCGCCTCCATCTTCCGCGCGTGGAGTTGCCAGGCGCCTCCAGCTGAGGAATGCCATTGCATACACACCACCCTCAGTCCTAGGGGGTTGCTGCTGATAGGCCTACACTGTCTCTCCGCCCGGCGAGTCGCTGCGGCAGGTCTCCTACATGCGATTGGACGCGAGCGTCGAGTGCGGCACCGAGGATCACGAGTCTATCCCCGGCCTCGCCATCGGCCTCATCGTCCTCTGGCCCGTCGGCTCGCTGGTCCTGTTCACGGCGCTCCTCTTCGCTTGCCACAAGCCGCTGCAGGCCAAGACGCCGACGGCGCTGACGCGAGCGACCGCCTTCCTCCATCGGGAGTACAAAACGACCTTTTACTGGTGGGAGGCGTTGGAGCTGGCGCGCAAGCTCGTGCTGACGGGCTTCGTCCTGCTGATCCCGGAGGAGAATGCCTTGCTTCGGCTCGTGGTGGCAACCCTCATCTGTTCCTGCTACGTCGCGCTCGTCGCCGCCACCAAGCCGTACAAGCGTGTCGAGGATTCTGTCCTCGCCGTCGCGATGAGCCTCATCCTCCTCATCGTCTTCCTCGGCGCCAATTGGACCACCATCTTCCTCCGAATCGTGGAGCGCTCCGGAACCGATGATGCCTCTGCCGTATTCGGTTTCAGCAAGCTTAACCCGATCGTCAGCACGATGATCGGCCTGGCCGGCGTTGCGCTCTTGATCTCCCTCGCCGGCGCCGTCGTCGCCGCCCGCCTCACGGCCAAGGTCCCAACGATCCGCCTTGTCTCCACCAAGCAGCCGCCCGAACTCACCCTCGCGCGGGGCCTCGCGTGGCACCTCTTCCTCTCGCACATTTGGTGAATCACAGCTGCGGAGGGAAGAAGAGGGTCCGAACCGCGCATGAGGCATCCCCGACCCCGAATAGGTCGACTGGTCAAGACACCGTCGGAGTCATCAAGAGCGAGCTGCAGCTGCTGCTGCCAGGCATCAAAGTCTTTCTCGACGCGCGCGCGCGCATGTTCATCGCGCCGCGTACAGGGAGACAGCGCCTCTGACAGCGCGTCTTGTACTCATAGGTCGATGATCTCAAAGACATCGGGGCGCTCGAGGAGTACATCCGGCGCACGCAAATGATTCTCTTCTTCCTCTCGCAGGGCTACTTCCGCTCACCGGCGCTCGCACGCCGCCCGGCCACGCCTCCCCAACGCAGCGCGAGCCGCCGAGCCCCCCCTCGACACTCCCCGCAGCTCACCCTTCGCTCCGCGCGCGCCGCCAGAATTGCCTCCGCGAGATCCGGGCGACGCTCGAGCAGAGCAAGCCGCTCGTCCTCGTGCAAGAAGCAGACCCGGCCAAGGGCGGCGGGACGCTGCAGGCGCTGCGCGATGAGTGCCCTGACGAACTGCAGTCGGACATCTTTGACCAGGGCCGCACGCAGACGACGTGGTATCGCATCGAGGAGTTCCAGCGCGTCTCGCTCAAGACCATCGTCGAGGCGCCGTTAGTTCATACACCGCGCCCCTCTCTCTCTAGTATCTGGACGTTCCCGCTTTGCACCCACAGGCGGTGCTCCTCTGCTCGCCCGACTACGACGGGCTGGACGCCCTCGGCCTGTACGTGCCGGGTGAGCCGCGCATCCACTCGTTCGCCCTTGCGAAGCCCGTGACGCTCTGGGCCTCGCCGGCCAACGCGGGGTCGGTGGATCTGGCCAACGAGCTCGCCGCCGCCTTCGCCGGCCTCACCGTCTCCACGGCCGAGGACCGCGGCTCTGTCGCATCCCGGGCTTCGGGCCGCTTCTCCAGTATCATGCGCCGCTCGGCGCCGCGCCGCGCCGGCGACGCGACGCACATGCTGCTCTACCTCAACGAGGACACCTGGTCGGACGAGAGGCTGGCCGAGCAGGTCAGGCAGGCGCGCGAGGACAGGCTGCCGATCGTGATGGCGCACGAGAACGACCCCGAAAAGGGCGGCGTGCCCTTCTCGCGCTTCTTTGAGACCACGCCGCAGGAGAGCGACTCTCTCAGAGGCGCGGCCATCCCGCCGTGTCCCATGCCCTCCACCTCTCCTTCCAATGCACCGCAGGAGCTCATCGCCGGAGGCCTCTACAAGGACCTGGCGAAATCGTGCTACCCGGGGCGCCACCACGAGGCGCGCGGCAGCGGAGGGCGTTCTCCGCGCCGGTTTCCCCCGCGTGACGCCCGCGAGCCCCTCCATAGGTGTCGCTCGTGCTCGTGGCTAAGGGCCTCGGCGCGACTCCGGCCCGGGCAAGGGTTGACCTCCGCCGCTGGAAGAGCCTCGTCTGCCGCGCCGTTGGCGGCCTCTTCGAACGGTCGGTCCGCGGCGGCGGCGGCGACCACGACGGTGGCGACGTCGGCCACGAGACATCGGCGGGTCAGCAATCCGTCTAGCTAGTGTGTTGCGGTGTCAACGGTCTCGCGGTCCGTGTTCGGCCGTGCGGGTGGACTTAGGGTTTGAGATGCTTTGCCGTCCGCGCCTGTGTCGAGCCTGTCTGCTGTGAGAGAGAGAGAGTTGTCCTTAAATTCTTAGGCGGCTCCCGTGGTGTACCTGTGTTAGTGCCATGCCAGTCCCGTCCCCAGTGTTTGCTCATTTCGCCCAGTTACCCCCATTTCCAGCTGGGGAGACTTTTTCGTGGCAAACCTCGTCACACGAAGGAGGAGCTAGCGTGGAACTTTGGATGCATATCGGCAAGCCAAAGTAACGAGCAGGAGGCTGTCCTGGTGCGAGAGCTAATCCTGAGCAACAATAAGCGACTGTACAACGGAGCCCAGAGCAGCAGACAGGACGGCGGCGACGGCGGACATGGCAGAGACGAGTGTGAGACAAAGGGCGGCGGGGATGGAGGGCGGGAGCGACGGGGATGGTGACGGTGACGGCGGCGAGGGAGAGGAAGGGGGTCCATTAACACCAGACAGCGAGAGGGGCAGGGAGGAAAGTGGGAGAGAGGAAGCCAACGGCGATGCCACCACCAGCAGGGGACACGATGAACAGGTAGACAACGGCCAAGGCGATGGCGAGGACGAGGAGACACGGGACGATGGCCAGGCGAGACGAGGAGGACGGAGGCGAGGGAAGAGGCAGCGCCACAGTCGACGGAGGCGACAACGATGGAGAAGGGGAGGGAACGAAAACACGCACAGAGATGAGGATATAAACTGGGACGACGCAGCGGAGGGGATAGACGAGGGAATCGAGGGACCGGAGGGCTTAAACGCGACAGCGACGATGACGACGAAGGCAGGGGAGGAGACGGAGGGGCGACACGCAGGAGGAGCGAAATCGCGAACGGCCCGAGCAGAGAGGGCGACGGCGGAGCACGAGGGGGCAACGGAAACGCTACCAATGACGCGAACCGAGGCACAGGCGACGGCGGGGACGGGGAGGGCGACAGCGACGTCGAGGTTGACCCAACGGTATCGAGAGCGCCACCCAAAAGGAGGCGGACAGCCATGGAGGTCACCGAATGGAGGGCGAACGGCACGATACGAAAAGGCAGGGCGAGGCGGATGGAGAAAGAAGTACCGAGGAGGCCATGGTGGAGGGGAGGGACGGGAGGACGAAAGAAGGGCGAGGAGGACGAGCGGCCCGGGGGCACAGGCCGCGAGCAGACAGCGCCTGCTGGCCATTTCGAGACATTCGCAAAGAACGCTAGCTACATGGGAGGGCTTCGTGAAGGATGGATTGAAAAACATTCGAACAAAGAAGAGGCGACGGGAGGAACCGGCAGAGGATGCAGTGACGTGACACACACACACACACACACACACACACACACACACACACACACACACACACACACACACACACACACACACACACACACACACCGCTCACCCACGCGCACCGGGCCTTGCACTTTGAATGCCGTGGGGCTCCTGTCGTTAGACGTGGAGACGCGAGGGTTGCCCCCCCTTGCCCCACCACATCGTGTGTGTGGAGAAGTTTACCTTACCTTACCTTACCTTCGTCACACGCTTTGGCGGCAAAGCAGATTTCACGGCAATTTCGCGGTAGTAGTGGAGAGCAATAGCCGTTTGGCGCTCGCTCCGCCTAAAGTTTCCGGCTCTGGCGGGGCCCCTTTACCGCAGCGAGCCCCCTCCAACCCACCCGCGCTAGGTAGGTAGGTCTCGGGGGACGCAGGGGTCACACCCGACGACCTCGGGAACTAGCCGGGGCAGTCGGAGAAGGGGCAACTCCGTGCACTGACGGTCGGCCGTCAGAAAACACGCCTCCGTGGCTCGGGTTACAGGTTACACCAATCCTCGCTACCCAACGCGGCCAAAGGAAAAGAAAGAAAGAAAGAAAACAGACAACCCAAGGGAGGGATGGGAGGACGGCACGCCGCCACCACACAGGGATTTTAAGGAGAGGTGTGTGGTGCGCTAGCCGTCGCCCACCCTAGGGAGTCTGCCTCTTCCTATCTCTCTTCGCAGTCTCTCGCCGATTCTCGCTGCAACCTTCATGCCACCTCGCGGTCGTCCCACTCTCGTCGTTCTCTCCCTTGTCACTTCCTCCTCTGTCGCGTCGTTCTCTTCTGCCTCGTCCTGCGACGCCGCCGCCTGCCGGTCCCTTGTTCTCGCGGCTTCTTTCGCCTTTCGGCGCAACTCCGTCCTCCTCGCGGCGTATCCTGGCCCCTCGAGTCTATCGAGCTCCCCTCGCGCAAGGACCACATTTCTGACTCCCACTCCGATCATTTGCCTACAGGTCATGTTGTTGCTCAGGTCCACTCTCTCTTCGAACACTCGTGCCTCTACGGATGATGCCGGCGCTGGGGTCCCCTTCGGATGCATCGTGACATCTGACAACTGGATTTCCACTGGTTCGTCCTCCTCGGAGTCATCTTCCCCGTCCTCCTTCCGCTCGGCTCTTCGCTCGGTACGTTCGGTGTGGCTCACCTATCCACCTCGAGGCTTTGTACTTTGTTGTGAGTATTTTTCGAGCTCGCGTTCAGCTGCCAGCTGCGCGCACGTCGCCGAGATGGTGGTCTGGACGCTGCTCCCGTGCGACAAGAGCAGCCCGCCGCAGCCGCGAGAGGTCGCGAGCCTCGGCGAGGCGCGCGCCGCGGTGGACGAGCACCTCGGCGCGAGCAAGTTTGCCAGCAAGGAGAGGTGCGACCTCGCTGCCGTCGAGGCGCACACCGGCACTTCGTACGCCCAGGCGCTAACCGTCCCGGACGACGTCTACGCCGCGCTCAAGGCGCTCAACGGCGCTGCCGCGCTCGTGCTGCTGCCGCCAAACTCGACCGGCCTTGTTGTCGGGTCTGACTCTGTCGTCCTGATGTACGACCGGCATGGCGGCCTCAAGGGCCTGCCTCCCAACGAGCGAGCGTCGCTCCTGACGCAGGCTGCCGGCCAGCCGCGAGCCGTGCGCGGCGACTGCTTCGTGGGCCGCCTCGCCTATGGGGCTCCCGCAGCCGGCCAGCTACGGCTCGGAGGAGAGGCTGCGCCGCAGCTGCTCACAGAGCGCGGCTGGCTGGAGGCGGCCCAGGCGGCGGCCAAGGCGGCGGCCAAGGCGGCACCCACGGCGGCGCCCACGGCGGCAGTCCGCGGGCGGCTCAAATCGCGGGTCGAGCATCGGCCGGGCCCCCGGGGGCGGGGGCCCCGCCGCGCGGGGCAGGCGGGGCGGGGCCCCGGGGCGGCCCTGCGGGGGGGGGGGAGCTCCGCCCGCCACGCCGGGCGGGGCTCGCCGAGGGCCGGCGCGGGTCGGTGGCGGCAGCCGCCGCGGCGGCGCCGCCGCCGCGGCCCCCCGGGGCCCCGCGGCTGCTCGACGGCGCCGCGGCGGCGGGCGAAGCGGCGGCGGGTGGGGCGGCGGCGGGTGGGGCGGCGGCGGGCGAAGCGGCGGCGGGCGGGGGTGGGGAGCTGTCCTGGGAAGACGGGGGGGAGGAGGTGACGGTGCGGGTCACGCTGCCGGCAGGCACAAAGTCGAGGGACGTGCGGCTCGCGCCCGAGGACGCGCGCTCCTCGCCCGCTTTCTCTGTGTAGTCGCCTGCGCCGTTTCGGTGCCGTAGGCGCGGCCCGCGCGCGCGGACAAGTGCGGAGACCTGTCCACGACACGTCCACGACACGTCCACGGCACCTCCCAGGTGCGGCTCGATCTCAAGGAGCAGTGGGCGCGGCTGAGCGTCGGCGCCGCAGCCGGAGGGCGGGAGACAGTGATTGACTCACTCATCAGCGCTGATCACCATTGCCAGGCAGCCTCTGCCGGAGGGGAAGCGGAGTTCCCCAGATCTCCCCAGATCTCCCCTTCTCCCCGTCGCCAGGCACGTTGCCGGAGGGGAAGCGCGAGCCTCTCTGCGGGAAGCTCTTCCAGCCGATCAACGCCGCTTACCCAGAGATGCGCCAGACTGGCCCCCCTGCACGACCAAGGGCGTTCGAGGAGACCTGCACTCCTCTGTCCTCTGTACTGTGCCCGACTGTGTCGCCGCAGCCGTTCCCCCGTCTTCGGGCGGTCCGTGTGTGCTCTTCCCCCCCCCCCCCCTCCCCCCCTCCCCCCCTCTCCGCACGATGCCGCCGCCACGCCCTCAGCTCGCTGTATGCGCACACTGGCGGTGTGCGCCTGGCGTTGGCCTACCCCCGGTCCACTATAGGCGGCCGACTGCGAGTGGCACATCGAGGACGGGCCTGGCTCGCTACGCACGCTGACCCTCTCCCTCGAGAAGAAGCGAAAGATGCGCTGGGTGCTCCTCACTAGAAATGACTGACGTGAGAGCGAGATTCCATTGCCGAGAGGCCCTGGAGGTTGCCCAGCACAAGGCGTTGCGCAATGCCCGGCGGGACAGGTCGCGGGACAGGCGGAGAAGCAGAGAGAAACTCACAGGATAGTTCTTGTGCGCCGCGCCGCTCTAGCTACTAGCATGCTTTTCCATACGTGAAATAAAAAAATGCTAGGACAAAAAGGAACCGGCCACACCCGCACACCCCCCACAGCCACACCTCTCTCAGACCTCTGAGCTCTGTCTCAGACCGGGGTGCGCGCGCGCGCGGCGGAGAAATCGCGTTAACAATCGGATTGATCGGTCCACGCGGCGCCTTCTGGCTTTGCCTGCGGGCCATCATGGGGCCATCCGCAATCCGGATTGAGACGAAAACGCTCAACGAACACTCGACTAACGCGTAACGGATCCGGCTTCCGATCGGGATCGCCAAACCCGATCGATCAGGCGGGAACTTTGCACAGGGGTGTCGGATACGCATGCGACAGTTGTGGGCGATGCGGCATCCGAGCGAGAGCGTTTCTGCTCGACCTCGCCCTGCTCGCTGCGGTCCCTGCACCCGCAAGGGGCGCAACCCTCTCTCGAGCAACAAGTGCAGACGCGCCTCGTCCCAGGACCAACTCCGCCCCAGCCCCATGCCAGAGAGTGCACACACACCGTCCGGTGCACACACCGCCCAGTATCGCGGCAGATCAGTGGAAGGCGTGCGGGAAGATGCGTGGCGCGAGCTCTGCGCTCAGCTTGTCGAAGATGAAGACGGCGCATATCTGGCGTAAGCAGCGCCAGGGCAGCCCGCGCCAGAGGGCGGGATAGCCGCTCTCTCCAACGAGCGTGCTCGCGGTCTGGCTGTATCCGCCAAATTTGGTCCGCTCGACGTCGCCCTGCAGGCAGGTCTTGAGCGTGTCGGGCGGATGCGAGGCAAAGGAGCAGACCGGCGTCGAGATGAGGGTGGCGGCCAGCCTCGCGCGGTCCTCGGTCGATCCAATCGAGTCGGGGTAGTTCTCGCGAAGCCAACCACGCATCACGGGCGTCACGCCCATGTAGCCGCCGCAAAAGAGGCCTGTGGAGGGGCAGGGCCGGGCCGCGTGGCTGGTAGCGGAGGGTGGCGGCGGCGGCGACAGAGGCGGCGGCGGGAGCCTTCTCGCAGCATCATCCCCGTCGTGCCACGGGTGAGGTGGCCTCCGCGCGCGAGTTCAGCCGCCGTGCCGAACAGGCTGCCACCCTTGCGCTGCTGCTGGATCATGACCAGCTCGATTGGGCTGCAGACCGGCCCGGAGAGCACGCCGGCACCGACAGCGGCGGTGATGGTCTCTGATCCCGTGAGCGGCCGGTCGGCGCCGCCAGTCATGGACTTCTTGATGATGCCACCAAAGAAAAACTGGGACGACGTCGCCGCGCCGTTGTTGAATAGGTTGGCGACATACCCACGGTAGAGCACAGACGGGTTGAGCGTGAAGGGCAGCCCCTGCTGCGCCGCATTCTTCCAGTAGTTGGTCGACTGCAGCAGCGTCGTCTCGATGCAGCCGCAGAGGGCGCCGAACATGGCATTCTCGCCCTCCGACATCGCGCCCGGCATGGCTCTCGGCAGCGCCGGTCGGCGGTAGGGCGCCCCTTCGGCTTAAAGTGGACGTCGCGGGCCAGGGTTGCGAGACACACGGGTTGAGTTTTTGGCGGGCTGTGGTATGGTCCCCCAACACGGGCGCTCATGTTAGCTTGTAGGGCTCGCACCTGCACGTGTGGGCGCGTGTCTGACACAAGCACCTACACGTGTAGGCGCGAGCCTTGGCTAAGACACGCGCTTAGATCTGAAAGTTTTGCCTGTGGGGCTTTGGGGAGGGGTCCGGGGTGGGGTGGGGTGGGGCGGGTGTCGGAGGAGGGGATTTCGGACGCCGGCTCTTGTGGCGAGGACGATGGCTTCTAAGGAAGCCGTCGTCTGCGCCTTGTCTGTCGTGTGAATCGTGCGTGTGCGGGAGTCTTTAATTTGAAATTCTTTTCAAAAGCGTCAGCGTTCGGCGCGGCTCCGACTGGTTGGGCATCTCGGCTGGGTCCATCAGCACGAGTCCAGCCCCGTTGGCCGCGATATATTTTTGCCGCACTTTCCGGGCGGGGTTTGCCGATTCACGCCTCCCAGCAGCCACCCCGTTGCCCGCCAAAGTAAGCCCGTTCTTGACGTGGGTGAGTGAGTGTGAGTACACACTCTTGACGCTCGGGAAGCTTCTCTCAAAGGATATCCACCTCGAGAACCTCGAGAGAAGCTTCTCTCGAGGTCTCACGTGCGGGCGGGGCGTTCTCGAGGGGCTACACTTGCGCCACGGCCGCCGGCCCCGTTGGCCGCGATATGGCGTCCCAACACGCCCCGTGCCGGAACCTCAACGCCGGGTTCGTTCACTTTCCAACTGCAAAGGAGCTGTACGCTCACCTCCGCGAGATCACTCAACCGGGAGGCGAGTACGTCGTCCGCAACTTTGTCGCGGTGATCGAGGACGTCTCTGTCGCCGCATCAACGGTGCCAACGGAGCTCTTCCCGGTAGGCGCGCTGGAGTACTACACGAAGAAAAATATGGGCTGGGAGTACACGCCGGAGGAGGCTGCGCAGTGGCAGCTCCAGGAGCGCGGCGGCGATCAGGGCGACTACCGCGCAGGCATCACGCGGAAGATAGCCAACGCGATCGACTGCCTCCGCTTGGAGCCGCTCTCGAAGCGCGCGACGATCACCTTCCCCTTCACGGGCTGCGAGGCGGGCGGCGCGGGCGGCAGCGAGGCCAACGATTGGACGGTGCAGGGGATGAACAAGTGCTGCCGCGAGCTGCACCTGTATCTGGAGGATGGCAAGCTCAAGTGCACGGGCATCGTGCGCATGCAGAACGCAACCATCTTCGTCAAGAACATCCACTTCTTTTCCACACTGCTGCAGCACGTCGCCGACGCGCTCGGCGTCGAGCTGGGCGAGTACACGCACTGGATCACCAACCTGTGCCACGACCGGAGCGCGACGTCCTGCTGACAGCCCGGCGCGCAGCCCACGCCGCGGCCCGACCGGAGAGATGCGTGGCGTAGTTAGGCTGCTAGGCGTGTGTACTATTTTTCTTCGGGATTTGATCTAGGAACTAAAAACTCCGCCGGAAATTGCAAATTCTTGTATCGTCTTGTCTCTTGCCGCACGATGTTGCAATCTTGGAGCACCTCAAGGAGAGCAAGGACCAAGCGCGCGGCCCCCGCCGGGCGCCTTCGCACCGACAGGGGCGCCGCGGCAGTAGAGAGCATTCCACCGCCATACCGTTTTTATGGCGGGTGTTCCGTAGCACTTCAATCGGCAGCCGCACTCCCAGGATTGCTCCCGCAATTCCCTTCCCCCCTCGGAGGGCCGGACTGAGGCGTCGAGGCCCCGCTCTTTCCTTCGCATAGCGGCCACTCTTCGGATCGCTATCGCTGGTCGAGCGACCCGGGGGATGCCCCGCGCGCCTGACCCAGGCGCGAGAAACGAATCTGCGAGGCGTGGCCGCTTATGCGGCCCGATGGGGAGGAACGGGGCGGACTTCGAGGATCGGCTACTTACACCGCCCTTCCCTGCAGCCCCCGAGGAGCGAGGTCGCGTTCGCAGTTCGCACGCTCGGGTTGTATGCACTCGCACGACCACGAGCCACAACTGCTAGTGCTACATCGTACGTGATCACTTCACACTTGTGAGAGTCGTGATTACTTGTTCGTTGTTGGTTTTCAAATCTCTCTCTCTCTCTCTCTCTCTCTCTCTCTCTCTCTCTCTCTCTCTCTCTCTCTCTCTCTCTCTCTCTCTCTCTCTCTCTCTCTCTCTCTCTCTCTCTCTCTCTCTCTCTCGACTGCTGAAGCAATCAGCCCGCCCGCGCGCGCCATAAAGCCGTACACAGGTAGGAATTCATTTCCTCAACTCACTCTCCGCACCCTCTTGCACAGGTACGGGAGGTTGTCTGTACTGCTACGCATATGTAGTCGCCCAGAATGCACAGATCGGCCATGTTATGTAAATACGCGCCCGCGATCCATAGTGCGTCGGCCAGACGGCGCGTATTTCGGTGTCGTGCCCGAGCCAAGTGGCGCCTGAGGGAGCTACAAATGTCTTGCGTATTACGAATCTGTCTTCTGCATCCACCTTCGGCCGATCGGGGTGTGCCTCTCAAGGCGCGCTACGCCCCACGTACTACGCACACGCATTCCGGATTCGAGTGAGAAGTGGCGGCCGGCGGGGGTTACGCCTCACGCATTACGCATACGCTTGATGCATTCGCACGCCCAAGGTGTCGGAGAGGGCCTCCGCACCACGTACTACGCACACGCATTCCGGATTCGAGTGAGAAGTGGTGGCTGACGGGGGTTACGCCTCACGTATTACGCATACGTTTTACGCAGCTTCGCACGCCCAAGGTGTGCGGAGAGGGCCTCCGCACCACGTACTACGCACACGCATTCCGGATTCGAGTGAGAAGTGGTGGCTGACGGGGGTTACGCCTCACGTATTACGCATACGTATTACGCATTTGCACGCCCAAGGTGTCGGAGAGGGCTTACGCACCACGTATTACGCATACGTATTACGCATCCCCCCCCCAACCCCCTTTATGTGCGCGCACTGGCGCTGCCGCTCGGGCTGCCATAAGTTGGCTGGGGTTGTATGTGCGCTGGTAACAACAGACTCGGGCATAGCCCTCGACAGCCACCCCCTAACCCCCCACCCCCCCCCCCTTTATGTGCGCGCACTGGCGCTGCCGCTCGGGCTGCCCGCGCGCCTCTGCAATCTGCTGTGTGTGGGTCCTGTGAGACCTCGAGGGAACTGTTTGACTGTCGGCGGAGAAGGTGTCTCTCTTGGCACTTCACTGCCATTGTCTTTGTACAATTTATGCTTTGTAACATTGCCTTGGACTACGAAGGATGAAACATACGTAATGCGTAATGCGTATGCGTGATACGTAAGGGGGGGGGGGCTCGGGGGCGCGCGGGGCGAGATACATAATCCGGAAACGTGAGACGTGGTACGTAAGGCACCCGCCGCGCGGGCCATTGCACCGTCCCCGGGGCAAAGCTTTGCGGTGAAAAGGACGTATGCGTAATGCGGATACGTGATACGTCGAAGACGCCCCGCCCTCCCGCGGGCCGCGGCGCACCGGCGGAGATCCATAATCCGTATACGTGACACGTGGTACGTATGAGGCAACCACAGGGCCATCGCACCGTCACGCACGCGATGATTACGTGTATGTATTGACGTTTTCTATTTATTTTTGAAGGGGGAGGCGTTCGACGGGCTGCGGAATGCGACGCATTTGGACTGGCAAGTGACGTACACGCACCGAGTATACGTATTCCCGATTCCTGTCCGGAAGATCTCCCCAGTGTAGATGCTACATACCTCGAATTTTTCCAGCCTCCTCGTCGCCAGTAGGCCTAGTTCCCCTTCCGCTATGCTAGAGGGGCCTACCTTCGCCCCTACCACCGTGCCGCCCGTCGTTAGCATGGCCGTCGTTACTTTCGCCACACACACACACACACACACACACACACACACACACACACACACACCGCTCACCCACGCGCACCGGGCCTTGCACACTTTAAATGCCGTGGGGCTCCTGTCGTTAGACGTGGAGACGCGAGGGTTGCCCCCCCTTGCCCCACCACCTCGTGTGTGTGGAGAAGTTTACCTTACCCTTACCTTACCTTACCCATAACGCGTTGGTGTCCCAGTCGTTGGTCGGACTGTGTTTCGCCTTCCCATCAATCAATTCCCCCTCTCACGAGTGCAGCTTGCACCCATCGCAGTACACCTTCATCTCCTTGGAGTCGTACAGGTCGGGCCTCGGTTCGCCCTTCACCTTCAGAAAGCCCACGGCGCCCTTGTCGATGCGGAATATGCTGTGGTCCACCAGGGTGTAGCTGCCGGGTACGAGTGCGTCAAACTCGACCACGGTGGTACCCGCAGCAGGAACCGCCGTGACACCGATACCCCGCGCCGGCGGCGAGATCAGGTCGCCCTCGCGATAGACCTAGCAGTAATAGGCAACTTAATTCGAAACCTCGGGCCCCACCCGCAACTAGCACGACGTGGCCTTGTCAAAGATCGCGCCGATCACGTGGAGGCTCGAGATCAGGTTGGGCCCGGCGTTGCCGAAGTAGATCCTCACGCGCTCGCCCTGCTTCGCCATCAGCGGCCTCTCGGTCAATGCACCCTCCCGGCCGTTGAAGACCACATACGTCGGACTCTCCCGCAGCCCCGCCTCGTAGTCGAGCTCCAGCACACTCGACCCCTCCTCGTCCTCGGCGGAGTACACTTCGTGCTGCACCACGTAGAATTCTCGGTCCACCGGAGGAAGGCCGCCTGCGCGGAGGCGGCGCGCCGCACGCTTCGGTGAGAGCGCCTTCGCGAGGCGTTTCGGGCGTGGCGGTGAGCAGACAGAGGCGGTGTGGCGGTGGGGAGGGCAGCCCGCCCTCTGGCTCCACAAGCACGAGGCCAAACATGCCTGCGGCGAGGGGTGGGTGCCTGGTAAGAGAAGGGAGATGCCGACTAGTAGGGGTGGCGCCCACCGCCGCAGCGCTGCGGGTGGGGAGGCCGGGGCTTCGGCGGGGCAGGCGGCGCGCGATGCCGTTCGCAATGTGGACCGGCACAGGCGCAGCCGCGCAGTGGTACACGAACAGCCCAGGCGAGGTGCACTTGAAAATGCCTGTCTTGGTCTCGTCCTGCTCCGCATACAGGCACGGGCCCCCGCCGCCTGGGCCCACCACGCTATGCAGGTCGATGTTGTGCGCCATGCCCGACTCGGCCCGATTCGTGTAGTTCACCTGGTGGAGGCGGGTCGGGGGTCAGGGCCGCGGCGCGGAGGGGGCGACCGAGAGGAGAAGGGCTACGGCGGAGAGGCGGCCGTAGGTACCTCGAGCACGTCCCCGACGCGGGCCCGGATCATCGGCCCCGGCACGCCGTCGTTGAAAGTCCAGAACGGGTACTTGCAGGATGGCGACACAGGCATCGTCTTCTCCGTGCTGTACAAGTCGACGACGAGGCGGGCCGGCGTTCTCCGCTCAATGGGCGGCGGCACGTGGGGCGCCATGGTGAGGGGCGCCTTGATGCGCGGCAGCGCCTCGATGGCGGCCACACGGACGGCGTCAACCTTGAGGACGGGGGGAGGCGCGGTGAGGGCGGCCGCCATGCTGGTAGCAGTCGTCAGGGACGGTGGCGAGTGGGAGAGTCAGGGACGGTGGCGAGTAGGCCTTGGTAAGCTTTGCGTGGTGATCGAGAGCGTTGTCCAGCTCCTCTTCAAAGCGCTTCGCCGCGGCGACCTCCGGCTCGGCTTGAACAGAGACGTCGACGCGGAAGGTGGACGGGTTCTGGGCGGCGTTGAAGCGGGCCGCACCGCTATTCTCGGCGGCCGAAACCTCCTGCTGCATGGCGAGACTCTTCGACGCGCGCTCCTGCTGCTTGGCTGCTGAGGGAGCGGAGGGCTCGCAGCGGAGGGTGGAGCCGGCGGACAAGGCCGCAGCGGCAGTGAGTGAGCGAATCCGCAAAACACTCCGGCGCATTGGCGGGGGGCGACTCGATCCCGGCCCACTGCGTGCCGAGCAGAGACGCGGACAGCTTCCTCACCTGCTGCAGCTCGGGTGGTGGGGTGTAACAAGGGGGTGTTGGTTGAGCGCCGGTTTCCTGCGGGATAACCAAATTTTTCTTTTGTGCGCTGGAGATGACAGACATTAGCGTGCCGTGGGGTAGGATCAGGGGTAGGAACGACGACAGACACTAGCAGGGGGGGGGGGGGGGGGGGCTCTTCGACGACTGCGGATCGCTCATGTCCGTTGGTTGGTTGGTGCAGGCAGGCAGCCTCCCGCGGTCGGTCCCAGCCCGGGCCGCTCAAGGGAAGCTCCCGGGATGGCGAGCCGATGCCCGACGCTCCGCACGCCCACCTGCTGCATGCTTTGTGGTAGATATTGTACTTTTGAGTAGTATGGGTACGGTTCCCGAGACCGTCCGCCCTCGCAATGAATGCGGAATACTATTACCATTCCCAGAGACACCGGTGCTCAACGCTTGACACTTGGGTGCACCCAGATTTTTTATCTTGCAATAAGGGCGCCGCCAACACGTCCTGCCTGAACGTGTCAGCAATCTCCTTGCCGGCCTTTGACCTCACCCATGACCTCCGTGCGCGGCGTCCGGCTCGTTAGCCACCGCGCCATGTCTAGCTGCCCCTCCGCCGCGATCGGCTACTCGACATCTCTGGCAGACACCATGTCTGGCTGTCCCTCCACCGCAATCGTCAAGTCGACGTCTCCGGCGGTGACTATGTCTGGCTGCCCCTTCGCCGCGATCGTCAAGGCGACAGCACCGGCGGTCGCACCCAAGGTGAGAGAGATCGTCGACGACTTCTACCCTCGCATGTTCAGCAACAGCCCTGAAGCAAAGGCCTTCTTCAACCCGGCCAATCAGTTCAAGGAGCCGCCGTTGCAGCGCATGGCGCTGGCCAACGCAGTCGTAGCCTACGCCACCTCCATCGACGACCTGTCCAAGCTGACGGGGGCGCTGGAGATCATCGCTCACAAACACTGCGGCCTCGGCGTCAAGCCGCGCCACTACTCGATCGTGCACCAGAACCTGATGGAGTCTATCGGGCACGTCATGGGCGACGCTGTCACGCCAGAGGTTGGCGAGGGTTGGAGCGAGGCCGTGCTTGCTCTCGCCAAGAACCTTTGTGAGCTGGAGGCAAAGCTCTACGCCGAGTCGGCGGGGCGGCGTGGCGGCTGGAAGGGGGTGAAGGACTTCAGGGTGGCTGGGACCCGGCGCGTCGCGACGGACTGCGTGGAGCTCACCTTCAAGCCTGTCGACGGCGCCGGACCAATCGACTTCACGCCAGGCCAGTTCCTGACGCTGCACCTGCACAAGCAGGGCTCGACGCCACGCCACTACACCGTGACGAACGCGCCCGGCAAGGACTACCTGCAGTGCTGCCCGAAACTTGTCGAGGGCGGCTTCGTCTCCTCCGCCCTCCACGGCATGAAGGAGGGCGACGTCGTCGGCGTCTCCGCACCTTTTGGCACGTTCAAGTTGAGCGGCCGCCCGGCGGTGCTCTGCTCGGCAGGGGTGGGCGCGACGCCGATGAAGTGCTTTCTCGACAGTGCGCCCGAGCAGGTCAAGTTCGTCCTGCACATAGACAGGGACGAGGCGGCGCACCCCTTTCGGAAGGAGATGGAGGCTAGCAGTGCCGGGACGCATTTCCACTACACAGACGCGGGCGGGCGGCCAGAGGCGGCAGCGCTCGTGGAGGGCGCCCTCAAGCCGTACCTGGCGGAATGCGACTTCTTCCTCTGCGGCCCGCCGCCCTTCCTCGCGGACATGTCCGCGGCGCTCAAGGCGGCGGGCGCGCGGAGCATCCATCTCGATGTCTTTGGCCCAGCTTTGGCGCAGCCAAATTAGCGAGGAGCGGTGAGCGAGAAACCGGCGAAGAATATGTCGAGTGCCCGTATGTACACCGTATATAGGTCGAAGGTCGTAGGAGAGAGCTTGCGTCCACTTGCTAGCGAGATTTAGGTGTGCGCGGGTGAATATCGGTGTACTACGTGGTTGGCGGTTCGTTGTTGTCTATTAGTGACTGTCGAGATTAGCGAAATTGCGTCGCGCATGAGGGCGAAGCGCGAAGCGAGAGCGGAGAGCCGGAGAGAGAGCTCTCGTGAGCTCTGAGACGAACTTCTCCTTGTCGGGCATGTGCTCCCCCGACTCGAGCGACCTGACAAGGTCGAACGACTCGTCCGGGAACGGCATCTCGAGCGCGTCTGCCACCTAGGTCTCGTACGAGAGCGATTACGCCTAGGTCTCGTAATCGCGCCAAGAGCGCGGATACACACACAAACAACAGGCGCGGCTATGAATAGCTGCGCATCAAAGAGATATATTTCCCACTTTCCGCACAAATGTGGCACCCTCGGGCCCCGCTCTTTCCCTCGCATAGCGGCCACTCTTCGGATCGCTGGTCGAGCGACCCGGGGGATGCCCCGCGCGCCTGACCCAGGCGCGAAAAACGAATCTGCGAGGCGAGGCCGCTCACGCGGCCCGATGGGGAGGAACGGGGCGAGCCCCCTCCAACCCACCCGCGCTAGGTCTCGGGGGACGAAGGGGTCACACCCGACGACCTCGGGAACTAGCCGGGGCAGTCGGAGAAGTGGCAACTCCGTGCACTGACGGTCGGCCGCCAGAAAACACGCCTCCGTGGCTCGGGTTACACCAATCCTCGCTACCCAACGCGGCCAAAGGATATCCACCTCGAGAACCTCGAGAACCCTCGGCCAGCTGTAGCTCTAGACTCGTCGACCGAGCTCTGGACGATGCCAACCTCAAACCACCAGCGCCAGCAACGACGTGCCGCGGCTCGCCGCGCCGCTGTTGCGACCGACGACGTGCCCGACGCCGTCCCGCGGCCGAAAGGAAGAGGCCCGCGCAACCACTTCTGCAGACTGGGACCCGCGGCCGCCGGGCGTGCGGCGGCACAACGAGTCGAACGAACCGAACCAGCGCAGAGCGGCGCGTCTCGCGAGCGCCCGCGGCCGCCACGCCGACGCCGTCCGCGGCCGACGGTGGTCGCGAATCAACGCGGCGCGGTGCAACGAGGCCAAGTCCTTCCAGGCTCCCGCCAGCAGCGCCTCGTGGCGTGGGCTGCACGGCCCTTCGAGACGGCCCGGGGGGCGGTGAGAGACCTCTCCCGCCGGCATGGCGCACTATATCACCCGTAGAGGCCTCTCTATAGTCGCCTTTTGGCACCTCCTCTCTCCACGCCGCCGATTAGACCTCGCCGCATCGCATCGCCCCCTTCCCTGCCCCGTCGCCCTCCTGAGCTCTCCCTCCTTCGCTCCAGCCATGCACAGGACGGCTGGACCATTGGCCCGCGTGCCACGCGTCCGGGACGGCCGGGTATCGGCTCCGTACTTTGAGCCCTCTTGGGCCACCCTCGCGTCCACCGGCCGGCAGAGCACCGCTTGGGCGACTCAGACGGCCCGCCCGACCAGCGCGTTCGATCGTGCCGCCCCCACAGCGTCAGTGGCGTGCGTGGGGTGGCAGGCGGCGTCAGCGCAGCCCCTCGTGGGGGTGCCCTCCCCCCGCCCGTGGCACCCCACACACTCGTCCCTCCTCAGGGGCGCAAGGCGGCACGGCACGTTCAGCGCTTGCCTCGGCCCACCTCGCCTTCACGCCCGCCACCGCGACCAAGGAGGTGGCCTCGGCGGCCCAGATGAAGCCCGTGCGGCTCGTTTCGGAGCCGCATGCCGTCCCTCTCTCGCCGGCGCTGCTCACCACGCCCAAGCCTACGCCGAGGAACCCGTCGCGCCCGTCGCTCACGAGCTGGTGGCTCGCATCGACCGAGCCGTCCAGCTTTCTCACGCCCTGCCCACGATCAAATTCGAGACGACCAACATCCGACCACAAAAAAGGCCCGCGCGTGCTGCGCGGGCCGGCGAGCGACTAGCGAGCCAACCTGCTAGTATAGAGATAACGACTGTTCACAGTTGGGAGATAGAGAGGCCCACCCCGCAATTCCCTTCCCCCCTCGGAGGGGGCCGGATGGAGGCGTACCCCGAGGGCCCCACTCTTTCCTTCGCATAGCGGCCACTCTTCGGATCGCTGGTCGAGCGACCCGGGGGATGCCCCGCGCGCCTGACCCAGGCGCGAAAACGAATCTGCGAGGCGTGGCCGCTTATGCGGCCCGATGGGGAGGAACGGGGCGAGCCCCCTCCAACCCACCCGCGCTAGGTCTCGGGTTTGACGCATGGGGTCACTCCCGCGAAACTCGTGAACTAGCCGGGGCAGTCGGAGAAGGGGCAACTCCGTGCACGCTGACGGTCGGCCGTCAGAAAACACGCCTGCGAGACCCGTGTTTACTTTAAGGCCCTTGCCCTGCGAACGCGCACCCCCGGGGCTAGGGCTCTCTTGCCCGCAACCCGATGCCAATCATCCGGCCCGCTGGGTGCGCTTCTGAGCTCCCCGGCCCTGGATGTGCGGTGAATGACTGCACTCCAAGTGCTCCAAGTGCGTGGATCGCGTCACACCAATCCTCGCTACCCAACGCGGCCAAAGGATATCCACCTCGAGAACCTCGAGAGAGATAACGACTGTTCACAGTAGAGAGGGCTCCTGCGCGTGGCGGCCAGGTGGGTGGATGGTCTGGCGGGGTGCAGCGACTCAGGAATTTAGGTGGGCGCAGAGGAGCGCGCGCCGAGCGAGACTGCGGGCCGAACGCGCTGTGCGAAAGGATTGCCAGTGCTTTGCCCGGGTTTACGCAAGGGCCCTCCCTGTGGGGGCCCGTGAACATCTTTAGCTTGTGAGCCAGGAAAAGGGTTGAGTTCATTTATCGGGGCGGTCGCCAGAGGCGCGGTGTTCAATTAAACACGGGTTCATAAACACCGTGTTTATAAACACCAAAAGTTTATAAACCCTGTTGAACTTCACACACTGATTGGCCCCAGCCGAATGAGAAAAAGAGAAAAAGCTCGTCGTCTCTAACGTTGTGAGGGGTCCGTGACCAGAAAAAACCTCGAAATGTTCATCGCTGACCTCACGCGGCGCTTTGGCCTCGACGACGGCCTGCTCTTCCCCGCTCAGATCCGGGACGAGGTCTCCGCCGCGGCGGACGCTGTCGTGAGTGCGGAGGATGACCTCGCCGACGCTATCGCGCAGACGTCGCTCAGTCCAAGGCAGCAGGACAAGCTGCCGTCGCTTGCCGACTGGCTGCCCGCCGGCGTGGCGACAGGCGAGGGCAGCGCGCCTCCCACGCCCCGGGTGCTTTCTCCACGAAGCGCGGCCACTATACCCGAGTGGCCGACGCTCAGCAGGCGTGCGACGCTCAGCGCGTGTGGAGACGGCGCCGGCGCTGGCGCTGGTGCTGCCGGCCATGCGGTCGCCGCCCTTGCCGACTGGCACATGCATGCGTGGCAGCTGAGCGCGTGGCTCGGCGGAGAGGCGACGATCGCTGCAATCGGCGGCGGCGCGGGCGGCGGCGGCGCGGGCGGCGGCGGCGCTTGCGCGGCCAAGCCGAGGCGGCCAGCTCGCCGCGGGACGTGGCTGGCGCCTCCTCCACGCTGCCCAGCCAACTCTCCTGCGTCGGCGCCGCACGCGGTCTTGTCTGCAAAGGCGCGATCTCCCCGCGATCTCCCCTCTCCCTGCCCGCCCCCTCCTCGCCGAACCCGGACGCTCTCCGCCCACCCCCACTCCCCACCTCTCTCTCCCACCCCCCACTCCCCACCTCTCTCTCGAGCGACACTCCTGCTGCCACCCGTGTGCACCCGTGTGCACTCCACACCGACCGCCCCGCCGAACCACGACCCGCCTGCTCGCACCACACACCCACCCTCGCCTGCACGGGCGCGGCGGGGCGGGCCGCGCGCGCAATCAAGGGACACGTCCAGGACATGTCGGAGGCGTGTCCGCAGGCGCGCGGCGCGAGCAGGCGGGCCATCGGGAAGCACTCGCGCAACGAGGCGCACGCGCGGGCGCGACGGCTCGCCCCGATCGCGAGGGAGCAGGCGGAGCGGTGGGAGGGGCAGGCGGCGGCGGCCGAGGCGGCGGCGAGGCTGGGCAGGCGCGGAGGTTGCGGCCGTGCCCCCCTCCCCCCCCCTGCTGACGTGGTAACGCGCCGCGTTGGACCACCGCGCCCCCTTTGCTGCAGGCACGCGGCGTCGGACGAGCGCCTCGCGAGCCTGCTCGGAGAGATGAACATGGTTGCACCCGCGCCGGTTGGAGCTGCGCCGCCCCTGCGCGGCTCGGCCAGGGCCGCGGCGCTCGACGAGGCGCTGCGCGCGGTCGGCCGGCGGAGGGGGCGGCAGAGGGCAGCGGGCCATCTTCGGCCGCCGGGCGGTTCGCGCGCGCGAGCGCCGACCCCGACGTGCGTCGCGTCGGGCTGCGCCTCGTGCCCGCGCTGCGCCTCTTAAGGTCAGGTACGGGGGAAGGACCGTGTCCGTGAGTTGACGGAAATCGGGGGACGCGACCCAATTTGCCACAGACGGTCCCGCGCCTCGCCGCTACGGCTCTATGACGGGGACACACCCCGCACCGTCCGCTGTGTCCCCGTCTTTGTCCGGAGTGAAAAGTCCAACGCGCTCGTCCGTGGCGGCTTCCCCCAATCTCGAATCTGCGCCGCGCTCGGCGAAGGCCTCGACAGCGCCCCTTCGGTCTGAGCCCTGGTCTGGCAGCCTGACAGCAAGCCCCGGACAGCGCCTGACAGTGCCCGACAGCCTGACAGCGGCACAGCGCTGACAGCACTTTCTCTGACAGTCAGACAGCACGTATCTGAGTTCTGACAGCCTGACAGCAGAGTCTGACAGGCGAGGTGCTCCGTCGCTGTCAGGCCCTAACGTGACAGCCTGACAGCTGCCTGACAGCCCGACAGCACACAGTGGCCTGACAGCAGCTCTGACAGCCCGACAGCAGCACAGACCGTCCTACGGGGTGTGGACCCTGGGCTAGTGCCATTTCACTCTGACACGCTAATCTTGAAAACGTCTCCAACGGAGCTCCGTGTTGCTTCCAGCGCCCTCCCCCGCGCTCCCTGCGGCCATGGCCGATGCTCCTAGGAAGAGAGGTCATCTGGCTACCGCGAGAGCGACCCAACTCGTCGACATCGTCCGATGATGGTGCCGCAAAGTCAGCCTTCGGAGGCTATCGTGGCGTCGAGCCGGCAGTAGCCGTGACATGTGGTTCCACCACCCCTCTTAGGCTTTGCCTCTGACCGCCACCGTTCCCAGGCTGCCTAATGGGATGGAAAGGAAGGCTCGGCGAGCGTATAGAAGCGTGCTCGACCTCGTCGTGGCAACCTGTATGGCAGCGCTGGTAGGCGCGATGAGCGTCGTGCCACCTGACCCGAGACGGGTCGCAGGCGTCGTACCGAGCGCGTCGAGACCGTGTCCTGATGCGCTCTGCACGGGTGAGTCACGTCGGCGTCAAAGGAGCGACGTGCGACCTGTCAGAGCTTGATATCCGATCTCAGCGGCGTCGAGTCTCGTCTCCGGCGCGCAACAAATGTACCTCCCCAGGACGCGCAGAGGCAGCAGCGACCCCGCCGAGTAGACGGCGGCACACCGCGCCACCTGCTGTGTGCCGCCGTCTACTCGGCGGGGTCGCAGCTGCGTCTGGAAGGCACCGAGAGGTACATTTTTCGCGCAATGTGGTCAAATCAAGGTTTTGTAACGCGAGCTGTGCCACAGTGAAATGGCACTAGCCCTGACGGTTGACCAGGGGTTGTGCGCTGGGCCCTCCTGCTCGGCTTTAGCCAGTAGACAAGTCTTGTCATCAACAGAGTAGAAGGATCTGACCTCGGGGCTAATGTGACCAAGCGCTGGTAGCGTGGTTTAACCTCACACCCATGGTCTCACAGTGTGCCGGCAGTCGCCGAGCAGTGTCGCTCACACAAGCCGCAGCACAAGTGACTGAGGGCCAGTGAGGGCGAGCCCATCGCTGTGACAGCTGTGGCAGCCGCACAGTAGGCTGTGTCAACTGTGCAGAGTGTGTGAGCAGCAGAGGAGCTGCTCTCCAGGCTTCAGGCGCAAAGAGCTGCATGCCACCGAAAGCGCTGTCGAGGTTCGCCGAGCGCGGCGCAGGTTGGAGGACGCCGTCACCGACGAGCGCGTTGGACTTTTCACTCCGGACAAAGACGGGTACACGCACACGAGCCGCGGTCGTATACCCGTCTTAGCGGCGAGGCGCGGGACCGTCTGTGGCGAAGTGGGTCGCGTCCTCCGATTTCCTCAACTCACGGTCCGCTCCCTCTACACAGTCAGACCCCGTAGAGCCTCTTTCTTGTGCCCCATGAGGGTATAACAAAACTATTACATGCAAAGACATGTACATGTGCATGTGAGTGTGGCCCATGTAGTCATGGGATGGTCATGGGTCTCTCTCTCAACCCTGCCTCCCCACCGCTCTGCGGACCCCTCTCTAGCACCGCCACCGGCGGCTGTGCTACTACAAATGAAGCTACCACAGCTAGCCTTCTGGGGCCCTACAGTCATATGCCTAGGGCGTCTGGGTGGGGGTGGCCGCCGCCGTCTGTGCCGCCGCCGCCGCCTGCGCCGCGCCGCCATCTGCGCTCCCCAGGCGGCGGCCGCCGCCGGCGTGATCACGCCGTAGGAGGGGGGCAGCTGGGTAGCCGCCGCCGGCGTCATCGGCGTCAGCGCCCCCGCCACCGCCCGGCTCCTCTTGATAGTGTCATAAGTGTGGCTGGTGTGTTCAGGCTCTGACAGCACCCCGACAGCGGACCACCCGACAGCACCTGACAGCAACAGCCCAACGTCTGACAGCAGCAGCAGAGCTCCGACAGCGTCTGACAGCAACACCCGACAGCTCCGACAGCACCCGACAGCTACAGAGCACCTCGCCTGTCAGACACGCACCCGACAGCACCCGACAGCACTGACAGCACCTGACAGCTGGTCTGAGAGAGGCACCTGACAGTGCCTGACAGCTGCCCGACAGCCCGACAGATCACCTGACAGCACCTGACAGCCTGACAGCCAGGGCTCAGCCTTCGGTGGCATGCACCTCTTTGCGACAGAAGCCTGGAGAGCAGCTCCTCTGCTGCTCACCCGCTCTGCACAGTTGGCACAGCCTACTGTGCGGCTGCCACAGCTGTCACAGCGATGGGCTCGCCCTCACTGGCCCTCAGTAACTTGTGCTGCGGCTTGTGTGAGCGACACTGCTCAGCGACTGCCGGCACACTGTGCGACCATGGGTGTGTGAGGTTAAACCACGGTACCAGCGCTTGGTCACATCAGGAGGAGGAGGCGTCGCTAGCGTGGTGGGCGCCGGCGGGTCGTCTCTCTTGGTCGAGCCGCGCCCGCTCGCGACGCTCCGCCTCGAGGCTCTCGAGGCTCTCCTCAAGCCCCTGGCGCGCCACGCGCTGTTTCTCTTGCACCTCGCAGACGGCCGATGCCAGCCGCTTGGCCTCCTCCAGCTCCTCCGCGCGGTGGAGCTGCTCGGCCTCTCGCTCATGTAATATACCAAACACTCTGGCCCTCAGTCTACAGTCACAGACTTGTGCTGCGGCTTGTGTGAGCGACACACACTGCTCGGCGACTGCCGGCACACTGTGAGACCATGGGTGTGAGGTAAGACCACGCTACCAGCGCTTGGTCACATCGGCCCCGAGGTCAGATCCATCTACTCTGATCTCTGTTGATGACAAGACTTGTCTACTCGCTGGAGCCGAGCAGGAGGGCCTGGCGCACAACGCGACCAACGGCGAGGAGCCGCCACCGCCCCCTCTGACGGGCTGGGGGTGGGCGGTGCTGGCGGTGCTGCTGCTGGCCCCGCTTGTGGCGCTGTGCAACTGGCTGGCCCGCACTGCTCGAACGCGGATGGCGCACACACACTGGAGGAGGATGCGGCGCGCTGCTGTTGCCCCCGCCGAGGACTCCACGCGATCGGCCGGTCCGAGCGACTTTACGACACGGCCGGTGCGACGGGGCCAATCGACGCCCCGTTGTCGCTGGCCCGAACGGAGCCCGTCTCGCCGCCGGGAAGCCCCCCGGGGCACGCGGAGGCCCCCCCGGCCGCCGCGGACGCGGTGCCGACGGAGGGCACGGGACCTGGAACCTTCAGGGTGGAGAATGGAGAAGGATAGCTCTCGGTGCCCAGCGCGCGCTCGGGAGGCGAGGTGCGCGTGAGGCTGCGCTTAAGCGTGAAGCGCGTCGACCAGCGCCGGTGGGCCGGCGAGGCGAACGGCGATGGTGGCGCTGCTGCGGCCAAAGCCTTGGCGGCGGGCAAGGTGCGGGGCAGCCGCGTTTGCTCGCTCGGCAGCCGGGTAGCGCTCGACCCGAAAGCGCCCGTGAGTGCGCGGCTGCGGACTGTCAGCGGCGGGCGCGTCAAGCTACTGCTGCACGCGCAGCGGCCGCGCTCTTCGCGGCTGCCCCGGCCGAAGCGATTTCGCGTGGAAGACCTCCACCATGAGAGGGGCGACGACGACGACGAGGAGGAGGAGGAGGTGGACGAAGGCACCGATCTCATCTGCACCTGGCTGCAGTGCGATGTGTGTGGCAAGTGGCGCATCGTGCCCGACCACTCGGTCGGTGCCGAGGGCGAGCCATGGTGACTGCTCCACCGCGCCTATGTCCTCCGCAAGCCCCCCCCTTGCTCGCCCGCCACCCTCGTCCCGCCTCTCATCCGCGTCTCGTCCCTTCTCCTCTCGCTCCTTCTCCTCTCGCTGCTCCTCCTCGCTCCCAGTCACCCCCCCTTCTCAAGCCGCTTACGCGTGCCGCTGCCTCTGCCAGGTACTGCTCGATGAACCTCGACCCTCGGCACAACCGCTGCAGCGTGCCGCAGCAGCCCGACGACGCTGTCGCCGACTTTTCGGACTTGCCGCGCGCCGCGCCCGAGCCGCCGTAGCGGTGGCTGGTTCGGCTGGCGGCCGAGGCTGAGCCGGGGGAGGGGAGTGCAGCCGCGGTGGGGGTGGGCACACACACACGACGACACGCGAGCGCTATAGTAGCACGCGGCAGGCATACGTTAGACGCGCGCCGGCCCCGCCGGGGCCGTCGTGCGGGCAGACAGAGCGCCAGGCCAGGGAGAGCGAGAGCGGCTCTCTTTTCTCTGTGAAGCCTGAAGGGGGCTAGCTTTTACACATCGACGGTGTCTCATACGGCTTTATGGGTACCTCGTCACCTCGAGTCTCGTACTTCGTACACAAATATATTTACCCCTCGATCGCCCCGATCGTCTCCGTCACCGCGGCCACGAGCCGCGAAGCCTCCCCCTCGCTGCGCGGCCCGTCCCTCCGCCACCTCGCCGCGTCGTGGTGCCTCGCCGCGTTCGCCCAGATGCGCAGCGAGTGCAGCTGGCTCCGCAGCTCTGTCGGCAGGCCGCACTCGCGGTGCCAAAAGTTGATGCGCTCCTCGAAGCTGTCGGGCGCCGCCGCAGAGCGCGAGGCGTAAGCAGCGTCGAGGCGCGGCATCAGCGTCTTGAAGGCGAGCATCATGTTGTCCTGGATGCGCGCCTGCGCGTCGCCGCCCATGCGCATGCCGCGCACCTGCACCGAGAGCGGCGAAGGCTCGTACCCGGTGGTGCGGGCGGCTGCCGCAGCGGCCTCGTCTCCAGGTGCCGGCGCAGCCTCCTCCACCCCCGCCCCGCCTTGTGCGCCACACAGCAGCCCCCGGAGCGTCGTGAGAGCCTCGGGTAGCGTGCAGCGGTTGCGCAAGCTGTCGTGGCAGAGGCTCTTCTGCCCGTCTCCCGCCTTGGCGAGGTCCTTGACAGCGCGCGCCGCTAAATCCGGCCACCCCGCCGCCGCCTCTGCGATCTTGGACGCGTCGATGTTGGTCCAGAGTCCGTCAAACTCCTCCTCGCACCGGTCGGTGAGCTGCACCTCGGAGCGGCTGGTGAGGCAGACGAGGAGGGTGATGCCGATGGCGTAGCCGTCCGTCTTGCTCGAGTACTCGCCCCCCTTGGTGATGGAGGGGCAGAGGTAGCCCGTGGTCATGTAGAGGGCAGTCGAGCGGCAGCGAACAGACGCGTCCGGCCGCTGGTCCTTGGCGAAGCCCGTGTCGGCGAGCACGGCGGTCAGCTCCTCATCGAGCAGGATGTTGTCCGGCTTCACGTCGCGGTGCACGATGCCCTTCGAGTGGAGGTAGACGAGCGCCTCGGTCGCCTCGCACGCAATGCGAACGCGCTGCCGCCACGTCAGCGGCCTCGGCGGCTCTACCATCCCCAGCCGCCGGAGCTGCGCCGCTCGGTCGGGATCCGAGATACGCAGCCGCGCCTCGAGCGAGCCGCCGCGCATCAGCGGCGAGAGGAGGCAGACGCCGTCGGGCGAGAGGCAGTAGCCGAGCAGCGGCAGCAGGTGCGGGTGGCTCACCGCCTTGAGAAGCTTCACCTCGAGCTCCGCCCGAGACAAGCCGCCCGACTGGCCCGACTTTGCCCGCTTGACGACGAGCGGCAAGTGGCGCAGCTGCGGCGGCGCGGCGAGGGAGAGGTGGAGGTCGGCCGACGCCTCGTAGACGTGGCTGAAGCCGCCGCTGCCAATCAGCTTGCCCTCTGCAAACCCGTCGGTAGCCGCGGTGAGGTCCGACAGGGCTATCTCGACTGGCCGAGCAACAGCCGCCTCCGCCGCGGCTGGCGCGGCGGCGACAGACAGCTCTCCCAGCTTCGATTCTGCCGCGCTAACCTCCTCGGCCAAAGCAGGCAGCGCGCCCACGTGCGGCCTGGCGGCGGCGATGCCCGCTCGGAGCGCGGAGGGGCTGTCTGCGGTGTCGAGCGACTTGAGCGCGCCCATCGCCGCGCCATGCGCCTTGCGCAACCGCTGGCTGTCCCGCCTCCGCGCCTCCTTGAGCTTGTCACGCGCGCGCCTCGCCGCCGCCAGCACGGCCGGGCTCGCGAGGCTGCTGTACGCCTCCAGCGCGCTCGCTAGTCCCTCGTACGAGCCAGCGGCCACTGCCTGCTGCAGCGCCTCGTCCGCCGCGGCGATGGCGGCTGCGTCGGCGGGCGGAGGAGATGGGGCTGGCGGTGGGGTTGGCGGCTGCAAATCGGCGGTGGCGCTGGGGCCAGGCGCCTCGTTGTCTGCCTCGCCGCCGCCGCTCTTCTTCTTCTTCTTCTTCTTGCCCTTCTTGCTCTCCTTGGCGCGCTCCTCCTTCTCCGCCTCCTCCTCCGCCAGCAGCGCCTCGGCATGCCGCGCCGCAGTCGCCTCTGCCGCCGCTCTCTCCGCCTCCCTCGCCTCCGCCCCCGCAACCCACGCCGCCTCCTTCGCCGCCTTCTCAGCCGCCGCCGCCGCCGCCGCATGCTCCCCGAGGGCGCGCACGCATGCGGCGTGGCCTTGCTCCTTGGCCATCTGGAGCGCCGTCGTGCCGCTCGCATTGCGCGCCGCCGCGTCTGCGCCCGCCCGCAGCAAGCGCCGCACGACGGCGGGGTGGCCGAAGGCGGCGGTCATCAACGCGGTGTCGCCGTCGCTGTCCTGTAGGTTGATCTCCGCGCCGCGCCGAATCAGCAGCTCGACCACCCGCTCGCGGCCGTTGCCGGCGGCGAACATCAACGCGGTGGAGCCGCCGCTTTCCTGCAGGTTGATCTCCGCGCCGCGCTGCAGCAGCAGCTCGACCACCCGCTCGTGGCCGTAGCCGGCGGCAGCCATCAGCGCGGTGTTGCCGCTGCTGTTCTGCAGGTCGATCTCCGCGCCGCGCTGCAGCAGCAAGTCGACCACCCGCTCGTGGCCGGTGCGGGCGGCGACCATCAGCGCGGTGCCACCTTTGCTGTTCTGCAGGTTGATCTCTGCACTGTGTCGCAGCAGCAACTCGACCACCCGCTCGTGGCCGTAGCAAGCGGCGACCATCAGCAGCGTGATGCCGCTGACGCCGTCACTCTCGTACGTCGCGTCGGCCCGCCCGCCACTGTCAAGCCACGCCAGCACCGCCTCCTCCTCGCCTCGCTCAGCCGCTGCCACGACCTCGTCGGAGACTACCACGCCACCGCTTGACGCCCGCCCCGCCGCCACCGCTGGAGATAGCGTTTTCGCGACGCTCGATCCAGCCGAGGAAGCGCCGCCGGAGGAAGCGCCGCCTGCGCCTTCGCCGTCGGCTGCCGTCGCCGTGAGCCGTCCCGCCACCACCTCCTGGACGTGCTTCTTGAAGGCCTCGACGCACTCGGTGTTGCCCTTCTCCTTGGCCAGCTGCGGCGCCGTCTTGCCGCTCGCATTGCGCGCCGCGGTGTTTGCGCCCGCCCGCAGCAAGCGCCGCACGACGGCGGGGCGGCCGAAGGAAGCGGCGTGCATCAGCGCGGTGACGCCTTTGCTGCTCTGCAAGTTGACCTCCGCGCCGCGCCGTATCAGCAGGTCGACCACCCGCTCGTGGCCTTGGAAGGCGGCCATCATCAGCGCAGTCCAGCCGCTGCTGTTCTGCAGGTTGACCTCTGCCCCGCCCCGCAGCACCATCTCGACCACTCGCTCGTGGCCGTTGTTGGCGGCGCCCATCAGCAGCGTGAGGCCGCTCAAGCCGTCTCTCTCGTACGTCGCGTCGGCCCGCCCGCCGCCCTCAAGCCACGCCAGCACCGCCTCCTCCTCGCCACGCTCCGCTGCTGCGATGACCGCATCGGGGGCTGCCGCGGCACCGCTCGACGCCCGCTCCGCCGCAGCCGGCGACAGATTACCCGGCCGCACCCGCACGCTCTCGCCGCCGCCCTCGAGCGCCACCGCGTACCTCCCGCCCTCGAAGCTCTGCGCAACGCCCCGCTGCCCGTTTAGCTCGGGGCGGGAGGAGAGCCCGCCGAGCAGGACGCGCTGGCCGAGCAGCGGCGCGTCTGCAGCCGCGCCGGCCCCCGCCGCAGACAAGCTCATTCACAATCTCACCCCTTTTGTCCCAAAGGACCCTTGAAAGGGGGGGGGGACCCGGGCCGCGCTCAATGGAGGCGCTCCGAGAGACGCACCAGCCATGTCACACTCAAGGGTTTCGTTCACACACACACACACACACACACACACACACACACACACACACACACACACACGCCCCCCCCCCCTTTCTACTCCTTCCTGTTCACACTTTCGTACGGCATACCTACGAAGAAAAATCCCCGTTGCGCTTGTGGGCCGCCCTCGCCCCGGAGCCGAGGCGACCTCGCTCGCAGGCCGACAGCGACATCCCTCTCACGCACACCAGGCGCACCCGCTCTACAGGCCGTCTGTGACGTGATGTCCGCCAACCAGACACGCGTCAAGGAGGAGAGCGGAATCTACCGTGTCGTGCACGCTCCATCGGTCCTCGTGCGGTGAGTGCCACAAACACGAGCGCAGAGAGAGCATCAGCTTCGCGAACGCACCCCGAAACGTTGTGGGTACACGCACAGCGGCGCTGCACGCCATCGCCAGCTCTACTCACCCGGCACAGCTGCCGCTTCCACCGCCGCCGCTGTCGCCGCTGTCGCCACCGCCCACACCACAGCCCGCACCACAGGCCTAGTGTGTTCGTCGGACGCCCTGCCCGCCACAGGCACGCGCCGGGCGGCCGCGCGGTCGGCGCAAAGTCGTGCGGCGACGTCGTCCGAACAGACGCGCGCACGGTCGGCGGCGAGACGGGAGGGTTGGTTGCAGGCGAAGCTTCTCGGACCTTTCCGTGACCTTTCCTCGGGGCTCTCGCATCTAGGCGAGACGGGGGGGTGGGTGCGGCTGCGGGACGAGCGCTTCGGAGGCGCGCCAAAGGGAGGGCTGGGCGGAGGAGGCGATGGCTGGAAGCTGCGTCCGACGAGCCTTCCCGGAGCCGGCTCGGAACTTTCCCGGAATCTTCATCCAGGCGAGGGCTGGATGCTGCTCAGCGGCGCCAAGATCGGGCTCGGAGTGCTGCTGGCGCCGGTGGACGACCGGGCGGCGCGGGAGGTACGGAAGCACCGCGTGCGCTGTGAGTGTGAACGGCGTCTCTTCACAGCCGGCAGCTGTGAACAGGTGCGGAGGTACCGCGTGCGCGCGACGCCGCACGCCGTGGTCTGCGAGAGCCCGGGTGGTCCTCCGAGTGGCAAGCGCATCTCCCCAGATCTCCCCAGATCTCCCCAGATCTCCCCATAGGTGGTCCGCCGATTGGCAAGCGAGCGGCGGGGCGTGTCGTGCGTTGCGATTTGGAGGCGGGCTGCTGGGCAGATCTCCCCAAATCTCCACGTATCTCGCCTCGCTAGTTGCGGAGCAGGGTCCTGACAGGTCTGGCGGCTTGACGCCGAGATCGAGCCGAGATCGAGCCGAGATCGAGCCGAGATCGAGCCGAGATAGAGCCGAGATCGAGCCGAGATCGAGCCGAGATCGAGCCGAGATAGGTGGGCGGCTGGGCGCGGCTGGAGGCTGACTTCTTCAAGCCAGGCTGCTTGCGAGCCGTGCGAGGGCTGGCTGCGCTGTGGACAGCGTCTGACCAGGGCGGGTTGCTGTGGACAGGCTGCCGCGAGCCGTGCGAGGGCTGGCTGCGCGTCGGCGATGCTGGCGGGCCAGTACACACACAACGTGTAGTGGAGACACAGTAGGGAAGGACAACGTGTAGGAAGACACAAGTAGTGAAGGCGGGAGGAAGGTGTGGTCCAGTGGACTTGGGGTGCTAGCTCGCCCCTCGCCCCCCCCCCTCCCCCTCTCTCTCTGCCCGCACGCCGCGAGATACAGGGGGATGCGGGGAGATACGGGGAGATATGCAACAGGCGGGCCGCGGGCCGCGCGCAACGCCGGGAGTGCTCCGGCGGTGCGGTGGCAGGCCGCGGCTGCAACGACGGCGGTGGGGCTTAGAAGCGGAAGATCTCCCCCTATCTCCCCCCCCCGCCGTATCTCCCCAGATCTCGTCTCTGGGGCCTAGAGAAGCGGGACACGGAATCGTGTTCTCCCACTAGAGAGGACGCGTCTTCGGCCGTGCTTGCCTTGCAGCACTCGCGCCCGTCGTGCCCTCGCGGCGGCAGCCGCGCCTCGAGATATGGCGAGATACGGGGAGATACGGGGAGATTTTCCGCCGCGTCTAGGCGGCGTGGCGTGCCCCTCCCGCGGCACTGACGGCTCGGAGTGTTAAGAGTGAATGGGTTGGTCCGTTGGTACATAGGCGGCGGGGCCCGCTGCCCCCCGAGGCATGACGGTTCGGATGTGGGTGGAGGTGGGGGCACACACGCACACACACCGCTCACACGCACACACACCGCTCACACACCGCTCACACACCGCTCACACGCACGCACGCACACACACACGCACACACGCACACACACGCACACACACACACACACACACACACGCACACACACACACACACACACACACACACACACACACACGCGCACACCCACCGCTCACCCACGCGCACTTGGCCTTGCACTTTGAATGCCGTGGGGCTCCTGTCGTTAGACGTGGAGACGCGAGGGACTGCCCGGCCCTTGCCCCACCACCTCGCGTGTGTTGAGAAGGTTACCTGACCTTACCTGACCTTGGAGGTGGGCGGAGGCACGCCGGTGCGGGAGCGGCCGTGGGGGCGCGTGGTCGGCCGAAAGACGCGCGGTGCCTTGCTGCGGTTGGACGGCATCGCCGACGGGTGGGGCAGGCGAGAGGCAGCCGAGAGATGGCCGAGAGAAGGCCGAGAGATGGCCGAGAGATGGCCGAGAGACAGCCTTCCGGGTCAGGCTCGAGGAGGCCTTTGTCGGAAATCTCCCCACATCTCCCCACACCTCCCCACACCTCCCCACATCTTCCCACACCTCCCCACACCTCCCCACACCTCCCCACACCTCCCCACACCTCCCCACATCTCCCCACACCTCCCCACACCTCCCCACACCTCCCCACACCTCCCCACACCTCCCCACACCTCCCCACACCTCCCCAGACCTCCCCACACCTCCCCACACCTTCCCACGACTTCCCACACCTCCCCACACCTCCCCACATCTCCCCACACCTCCCCACACCTTGCCCACACCTCCCCACACCTCCCCACACCTCCCCACATCTCCCCGCAGCTCCCCACACCTCCCCACACCTCCCCACACCTTTTCTCAGCTCCCCACACCTCCCCACATCTCCCCGGACCTCCCCACACCTCCCC